TACAACTTGACATTGAACAAGCCCACATAGTGTACAACTTGACGTTGAGCAAGCCCACATTTCTTAACCTCAGCGTCACCTTTGGCTAGCGTGTACTTGGAGACCTTGAGTCACCCTTGTCTACCCTGTGTTTGGTGACCTCAAGTCACCATTGACTAGCGTGTACTTGGTGACCTAGAGTCACCATTGACTAGCGTGTACTTGGTGACCTAGAGTCACCATTGACTAGCGTGTACTTGGTGACCTAGAGTCACCATTGACTAGTGTGTACTTGGTGACCTCAAGTCACCATTGACTAGTGTGTACTTGGTGACCTCAAGTCACCATTGACTAGCGTGTAGTTGGTGACCTCAAGTTACCATTGACTAGCGTGTAGTTGGTGACCTCAAGTTACCATTGACTAGCGTGACCATGTGCTAATTGCTTCCATCGTGTCTAGTCAAAGGTTCCCGTCCTGACCCCTTCTAATACCTCGGCCAGTCAACAATGGCATCGAACAATGGCTGTGGAACATGGTCATTGGGCGTACAGTGCCAGGGTGCCTCGTTGTGAATAAAAGGCACAGGGTGGGGTGGGGGGGGGGGGGGGTATTATTAACCGCTAATTGACCTGAGGGACCATTTCACGCATCGCTGAATTCCTCGCGAGTTAAGTTTTAAGTGTCGTCCGTGTTCGTGTTAGGTGACACCATTAAATGACCTGGTAGGGTAGCTTCGTCAAATCATGTGACTTCTGGTTCTCGTCAAGTCATGTGACTTCTGGGTCTCGTCAAGTCATGTGACTTCTGGTTCTCGTCAAGTCATGTGACTTCTGGGTCTCGTCAAGTCATGTGACTTCTGGTTCTCGTCAAGTCTTGTGACTTCTGGTTCTCGTCAAGTCATGTGACTTCTGGGTCTCGTCAAGTCATGTGACTTCTGGTTCTCGTCAAGTCTTGTGACTTCTGGTTCTCGTCAAGTCTTGTGACTTCTGGGTCTCGTCAAGTCATGTGACTTCTGGGTCTCGTCAAGTCATGTGACTTATGGGTCTCGTCAACTCATCAAAGTCAGTTAAAAATTGGAACAAAAAAATAAACCGGGAATGATCTCCCCTAAACTTTCTCGAATATTCTTATACTAAACAATAGGGTTTGGCAAATCGGGAAATAGACATGATTTTTAATCGATTTTTAAGTACTTAAACTTTTTAAAATAGAATAGAATCTCGTAGAAAAGGAAGTGCACACCAAGCGAACGCCAAGCAAAATGTCTATAATACTAATAGTGCGGAATATTATTAGTACATTGAAAATTCACATGCGTTTTTTGAGAAATAGGAAATAGCGAAATTTACTACTTCCGATTAACGGAAATTAACGGAAATTACTCAAAATTTGATAGACGGCAGAGAATTAGATCTTTTACTTACATGTGAAAGTTCATTTATCTATCTGAAATAGTAATCAAGTTATAGGTTTTTGAAAAATTGAAAGTAGAAAAAGTTCCACTTCCGGTTATCGGAAATCGCTCAAAAGTTGAAAAGATTTGCAAAAATCTCGATTTTTATTTTAATTTTTTTTTTTGCACGATTACAAGACTTTCTCTATGCTTCTTATATACGCGAAAGTAATGAATGTCAATTTTTTTTTAAAATAGTATTCTTATTTGTGATAACTTGTAAACCGCGTAGAAAGTCGTGTTAGACTGCGGTTGACAATTCTGTGTACTTTAGGCCGGCGCACCGTGAGAGTCCAATTACAGGAGAAGACAACTCCAAATTTATTCTTCCTATATGAAGGGTGGATCATCGCGTGGACCACCAGACACTCGAGTTGTCGTTCCTTCCGCGTGAGGGACAAATGAATGTACTTCACCGCCAGACGGCACGCGAGACAATATGTCTAAAGCTAACTAAATACCGAGATAAGGCGTGAATATTTTATAACAAAATACACCAGAAAAATGGTTGCTATTTTTAGAATAGAATTTCTGTTTTGGTATTTGATTATTTTTAAAAGCTTTAGGTAGCAAGTGCGTACACAAATAGGCAGCTAGAGGTTAAATAGGTGGCTAGATGTTACACAAATAGGCAGCTAGAGGTTACAAAAATAGGCAGCTAGAGGTTACACATATAAGTGGCGTGAGGTTACACAAATAGGTGAGTAGAGGTTACACAAATAGGCAGCTAGTGCGTACATAAATAGGCAGCTAGAGGTTGCTCAAATAGGCAGCTAGAGGCTACACAAATAGGTGGCTAGAGGTTACACAAATAGGCAGCTAGAGGTTACACAAATAGGCAGCTAGAGGTTACACAAATAGGTGGGTACATGTTACACAAATAGGCAGCTAGAGGTTACACAAATAGGCAGCTAGAGGTTACACAAATAGGTGGGTACATGTTACACAAATAGGCAGCTAGAGTTTACAAAAATAGGCAGCTAGTTTGTACATAAATAGACAGCTAGTGTGTACACAAATAGGCAGCTAGAGTTTACACAAATAGGCAGCTAGTTTGTACATAAATAGGCAGCTAGTGTGTACACAAATAGGCAGCTAGAGGTTACACAAATAGGCAGCTAGTGTGTACAAAAATAGGCAGCTAGAGTGTTCACAGATAGGAAGCCAGAGTGTAGATAAATAAGGACCTGTCTGCATATTAAAGCAAGTTATGGTAATTAGCTTTTTTATTCGTCTAGTATTAATTAAACTTTTTTTTTCAATTAATTAATGCATAGGCCTACACAGTGGCGTAGGCAGGGGGGGGGTGGGGTTAGGGGGGTCATAACCTCCCCCCATAGACCCCTCGGTATATATATAAAAAGTATGAGGGGGTGCAAATCGAAAGTTTGAGGGGGGTGCAAATCGAAAGTTTGAGGGTGGGGGGTGCAAATCGGAAGTTTGAGGGGGGGGGGGTGCAAATCGAAAGTTTGAGGGGGGGTGCAAATCGAAAGTTTGTCCCCGGGTAAAAATTGGACCCCCTCCCCCACCCCTTGAGACGATCCTGACTACGCCACTGGGCCTACATGAAGATACGCTGCGTGGAAACAAATTACAAATAACAACAACAAAGTCAAATTTAAAGTATTTTTGGTTCACTAAGAAGCAGGCGTATACAAATGTATTGTAGGCCTACTATGACAAAAACTTCGTATTTACATGTTATTATGTTGTTTGCACTACAATGCAGACAATAAAAACGAGTTGTTTTTTTTTAAACACTAAATTTTACATCAAATTATAGAATTTAAAACAAATTTAATTGTCCGTTTTAAAAAACAGTTCAGCTGTGTTGATCCTGGCTAATGCAATGTTTCTTCTCAATCTACCATCCCCACCAATCCCCTACCAGTTAGGTTGTAGGTTACGGTTTACGGGTAAGGGGTAAGGGGTAAGGGGTAAGGGGTAAGGCCAGGCCAGGCCAGGTCAGGTCAGGTCAGGTGAGGTTAGGTTAGGTTAGGTTAGGTTAGGTTAGGTTAGGTTAGGTTAGGTTAGGTTAGGTTAGGTTAGGCTAGGCTAGGCTAGGCTAGGCTAGGCTAGGCTAGGCTAGGCTAGGCTAGGCTAGGCTAGGCTAGGCTAGGCTAGGCTAGGTTAGGTTAGGTTAGGCTAGGCTAGGCTAGGCTAGGTTAGGTTAGGCTAGGCTAGGTTAGGTTAGGTTAGGTTAGGTTAGGTTAGGTTAGGTTAGGTTAGGTTAGGTTAGGCTAGGCTAGGCTAGGCTAGGTTAGGTTAGGTTAGGTTAGGTTAGGTTAGGTTAGGTTAGGTTAGGTTAGGTTAGGTTAGGTTAGGTTAGGTTAGGTTAGGTTAGGTTAGGTTAGGTTAGGTTAGGTTAGGTTAGGTTAGGTTAGGTTAGGTTAGGTTAGGTTAGGTTAGGCTAGGCTAGGCTAGGCTAGGCTAGGTTAGGTTAGGTTAGGTTAGGTTAGGTTAGGTTAGGTTAGGTTAGGTTAGGTTAGGTTAGGTTAGGTTAGGTTAGGTTAGGTTAGGTTAGGTTAGGTTAGGTTAGGTTAGGTTAGGTTAGGTTAGGTTAGGTTAGGTTAGGTTAGGTTAGGTTAGGTTAGGTTAGGTTAGGTTAGGTTAGGTTAGGTTAGGTTAGGTTAGGTTAGGTTAGGTTAGGTTAGGTTAGGTTAGGTTAGGTTAGGTTAGGAATATCACATCATCTGTATGGGCTAGTTACTAGCTGAATATCACATGAACTGTGGTATGGGCTAACAAAACAAAACCAGTTGTATTACTTTTCAAGTAGAATCTAGAGACTTTAAGTGTTGTGAAAAAGGAGCAGCTTCGTTCCTGTTTTCCAGGTCTGTGTTTAACTTGAACGACAGGCGATGTATTTTCCTTAACCATGAGTGATTTCAAACAAGAGAGTTAACCGGTTTAAAAGAGGAAAATCTTTCTAAAGAGTAATTATTTCCCTTGAATTTCTGAATTGTACATAATATTGTCAGGCGTTTGGCTGCTAGCCTGAGGTCTCGAGTTCGGATCTCGGATATTCTCGGTTCGGATGATGGGTTCGTGGCTCACGTAGGGGAAAATAAAGGCAGCTGAGCATAGTGCTGACCACAACATCCCTTCATTTGCCGAGGTCAAGAAACATACCATCAAATATCTACCCTACTTCATCTGCCCAGTGGATCGTTAAGTTTAAAGACTAAAGACGAATCTTTACTTTTTATTCTTTTAAATTGACCAAAAGAAAACGTAACGATTGTGGAGAACGTAATGGTAATTAATACGTATACTAGAACAATGGTTTAGGCCTAAGCGTTCGGCCTTTTTTATTTATAGGCCTAACAACAATAATATATTAATACATTTAGATTTTGCCTTTTTAATTTTCCATTGACTTTTGTCATGTTTTAGATCTTGATCTAGATCTAAGTCTAGGCTATGTTAGTATTTTATTTTGGGGAGGCCTAATTTAAAAAAAGAAAATAATTTTAATTGAATTTTTGCTTTTTTTTTCGGAGATTTTTGTCAGCACTTTCGGTTTTGTTCGGCGACTTGTCTCTTGTAAACAAATAGATTCTAGAGCAAGTAGTAAAAACTGTAACAAACTTGTTGTGATAGGTGTTTTACTTTTAGAGAACTATTTTTTCTCATTAGTTGCTAAACATATGCACATTTAATTGTAATTTCATTATTTAACCGCAGCTACCCAACATATATAGATTCTTCTACTTAGTCATTAGTGTTGGTAAAATGGTTTTGTTATTTCAATTTTTGGAAATTAGGTATTCTCAGCTGATTAGGTAAACTCCAGTCCAAACGCCGAAACGAATCACTGAATCTCAGTGACACACTGAAGGTTGTAAGACAATTTATAATGTTATATAATCATTATGTTAATAACATGTTATGTAATTATTGTAATGTAAGTAGATCTAGAATCTAGATCTAAGTAGCACGTAAGTACGTACATATTGTACATAATGTACCAAGTGTAGATCTAGGGTAATCTATCGTTTTGGGTACGTAAAATCGCCCGCGATTTGTAATGTGAAAAACAGGTGACTCCTTAAGTTTTAATAATTATTTCACATTTTGAGGAGGATTTATGTTTTAAAAAATTCAAAAATGTTTCCTTGATTCATTTATGTACCTGTTTTTACACAATTGAATTAAAACTATTCCGTAATAAATGAAGACTAGCGATGTTTCCAACAGATGCAACCATGCTCATCTACTATAGCAGCCATCTTGTCTAAGTTTTATTTTTATAAGCTTTTAGCGCCAGATTCAGGGGGAAGCCACTCTATTTTACAAATGGCTGCTGTTTATATATAGCAAATCTTGCTCTCAGACACTGCTGTTTAAAGTTAATTTCTGGCCTATATCGATATATTTAGCCATTGATTTAGGTTTATTATTCATTTATCTATAATATTTGACACAAAAGTATGACAATATACTTCTATTAAAGCCTTGACAATGAGGTAACGTTTTCGTACATAAATAGCCGCGGGCGATTTTACGTACCCAAAACGATAGATTACCAGATCTAGTATTCTAGTAGTAGGATCTAGAATCTATTTTATAATTTTAGTATTTTTAGTACTAGATTCTAGATCTAGTTCTAGATCTAGACTCTAGATCTAGATCTAGATCTGAGATCTAGTATCCACTACTTACTACTTTAAATAACTTATTACTACTTAACTTACTTAAGACTTAAGATCTAGATTTAGATCTAAATCTAGAGAGATTCTATTCTAGAGTTACGTTAGTAGAGTACGAGATCTTAGATACTAGATCTAGATCTAGATACTTTGGTAAAACTATTACTATTACTATTATTAGGTAGGCCTACTTAATTTATAATTAAGATGTCTAGTCTAGTCTAGATCTAGAATCTAGACTATATCTAGAATCTAGACTTGTTCTGGATACTAGATTAATTTCTAGATCTAAAATTTAAGTTAGATAGATTATTAGATAGATAGTCTAGATCTTTAGCAATTATAGAGTATATTATAGAGGCATAGTCATAGGGCATAGTAGTAGGCCTATTGTATATGCCATGGCCTATAGGATAAGGATAGGGCTTAATTATAGTAATTATATTTATAATTAGATTCTAGTAATTCTAGACTCCCTAGATATCTACTATTATTATATGCCATTGAATCAACTTGTTTGCACTGTGGGCAATTTTAGGTTATGAGTTTATGGATAGCCAAATAAATATTACTTCTGATGCAGTGACCTAGATCTCACTAGATTAAATCCATTATTAATTTATTATACTATAGTAGTAATAAATGGGGCCTAGGTCAAGGCCTAATTAAATTATATTAATATATTTTTATAGGCTATACCTATAAAATAGTTTGATTAGGCCTATAATAGTCTATATAGTTATATACTAATAGCCTAATACTAATATGCGGAAAATGGAAAAACATAATTTCTTTATATTTTTATATGCAAGGGTTAGTAATCTAGATTTCTCAATATAGACTAGATCTATATATTTAATCTTTTCAGATTCAATAATTTCAAAAAATACATGTAAGCTAAAAATGTCAGTATTATGATGTTCTTTTTGTGCAGATAACACTCAGTCATTATTTATAATCATTCATCAATCAACTCCCACAGACTTGATAATTTGTTCTTTGATCCATCCATCCATCAAGACACGTGTTCTTTGTTTGCTGATCCATCCATCCATCCATCCATTAAGACACATGTTCTTTGTTTGCTGATCCATCCATCCATCAAGTAATACAGACACCTATCCAAGCAGGATGGAAAGTTTGTTTGATGGCCTTTACAAGTGGGCAGCTCCATTGTTCATCCTTCTAGTCTTACTATGTCTTCTGTACACGTAAGTAGGCTTATGTGTTTTCTCATAATGCCACTGTCTACCACTTCTGTACTGTCTGATAACTCTAATACTCTGACATTGTTGCGCAACAGTGTAGTCAGACAGGAGATTATTTAATTGCTAACTTAAAAAGTCCAGAGTACTGGCCCCGAGCCTATAAAGTGTGTTAGCAGGGGACAGCTACCCATGTAGAATTGAGAACTCCAACTTTGTTCTTTGGCGGACAAAGGCTATAAAAGCAAATACAGAAAGATAAGCAGACTGAAGTCGGGGGTCAACTGGTGATTTGGCACGTAACATGTTGACACTTAATACTAAATAGTGTTGGAGGAAATCCCCTCTAATTTCACAGTTAATAATGAAGAAGAAGATAATATTGTGGTCAAGCTACTTCAATAGTATTTTGTGATATTAATAGATATCAGAAATCAACAGTCAAGTCACTATCATTTCCATAAATTATTTGAATTATGCCCCTTTTATCTGTTCTTCTATACTAAAAATATATTGTTAATGGAATAAAAAACAAGTAAGTTAATGTTTTGCCTATTTTATTTTAGTAAATTTCTGCTTGTAATTTTTTACAAATATCTGCATATTGCAAAGTTCATATTGAATTTCAAGGTTATGAGGATTAAATTGTCTATCCTTTCCTAAATAACCGAGTAGTTTTGGCTGACAATGTTAAGACAATATGTTTTTGTTTTGTTTAGCTATGGCAAGCAACCTTATGGCCTGTGGAAGAGACTGGGTGTGAATGGACCTGAGCCCACCGTTTTGTTTGGAAACATTCAAGACCTGTATGGCCCGGAAGGTTCCAGGACAGCCTACTCCAAGTGGCAGTCAGAATTTGGCAGAGTCTATGGCATCTACTTCTTCAGGCACCCTGCTCTAGTCATCACAGAGCCAGAACTAATGAAGCAAGTCCTGGTGAAGGACTTCAACGATTACCGTGACAGAATGGCTTACGACAAAAGTATTTTGTTGAACCATGAGGTTAGCACTGGACTTTTTTTTGCCCGGGGTGGGGAGTGGAAGAAAGTTCGAAGTATTTTCACACCATCTTTCAGCCTGTCTAAAGTCAAATCTATGACCTACAATGTGAACAGGAGCGCGGAGAGACTTGGGGAGCATGTGCTTAAACTGGCCCGTGAGGGCACCCCGTGGGGGGCCAAGCTGTTCTACGGAGCCTACGCCATGGATGTGGTCACTGGCACCGGCTTCAGCATTGACGTAGACTCTGTCAGTAACCTTGACGAGCCTTTCACAAGACACGGACGGAGTCTTTTTATTTATAAAAAAACTGTCAAACTTTTGGCTTTCTTGAGTGGAGCATTCCCAGCGTTGATGTCACCTATAACTAAAACTTTTAAAATTGGATTTTTTAAGAGGGACGACATGGATTTTTTCTATGAGAACTTGACACGCATGATTGATGCTAGGATGAATGAGGAGAAAATCAACGATATTTTTCAAAGTTTTATCAACGTGCAGAGTGACGAGGCAGCAGGCGGGTTGAACCGGGATGAAATTGTTGCACAAGGCATCATGCTGTTCATCGCTGGCTATGAGACAGCTTCTAGCACCCTGCAGTTTTTGACCTATGAACTCGCTAAACATCCTGAAGCTCTGGAGAAAGTCATAGCAGAAATTGATAACATCATTGGAGACAAAGAGCCGAGCTATGACCTGTGCTCCAACTTAAGATACACAGAGGCGGCCATCAATGAGACCTTGAGGATGTACCCCCCCTTGTCTGTACTAACTAGACAGTCCAACAAACCTACAACACTGAATGGCATCGAGATTCCTGCGGAGACTGGCTTCATCATGCCCCTGTTCAACATCCAACGTGACCCTGAGTACTGGCAGAACCCAAACAGCTTCAACCCCGACAGGTTTGTTGAGGGCAGTCCGTCCTTCACGGCCTACGACCCCTTCACATTCATCCCGTTTGGCATCGGCCCCCGCCTGTGTATCGGCATGAAGCTGGGGATGTTGGAGATGAAGCTGGCACTGGTGCACATCTTGAGGAGGGTTGTCTTCACTAAGGCCACACCAGAACTATTGCACATCAACGACTTCACATCCATACTGCAGCCCTCGCAGCCAATCATGATTTATGCAAAGCCTCGTTGAGCAGTTTTACAGTGAAGATATTAAAGCTAAAGTCATAATTTCAGTAACTGCGGTCCAATCAAGATTTATGAAAAGCCTCGTTGGGAGTTTTCATTCAACGACATAATTTCAATTGGTGCAGCTAAAATAGTTTGCAAGTTTATGCTAACAAAACAGATGTTATATTTCTACACTGTTTTCAGCTTAAAGTGATATCAATGTTGCTGTACAGTACTTATATTAGCACTGTCTAAAGTCAATGCTACTAGTCTCCTCTATTTAAGCTTGTTTATTATTGGGGCTTTATTGTTGAGGCTGTTGTAAAAATCTCTGTATATTTTTAACTTTTTTAATATAATTTATATTATATTAAATAGATTGAAGCATAATTTAATTTTTTTTTCTTGAATGAAAGAAAATGTGTCAAAAAATGTGCTGACTGAAGAAAATCTACTCAGAGGTGTAGCGAGGGTGGGGCGGGGGGTGCAGACTGCACTGGGTGACACCATTTAGGGGGGTGACACCATGGCAAAAAATTGTAAAATAAACAGAAGAAAAATGCTTTTGCCAGTTGCATTAATGCTTAAATATGCGGCATATATTTTAATTATAAACTTATGTAGGTCGACATACACACACACATATATATATATATATATATTCTTTGTTTCTTGGTGGGGGGGGTGGGGTGACACTGGACCTAGCGACGCCACTGGGCCTACCCCATTGTTGAAGCCCTCTTCATAATTAGGTGGCTTTACACCTTTCAAATTTTTTTACAATAATGTCTAACGTCGTCAAACGACCCACGCTTTTGATTTACAAGGGGGGGGGGGGGGCGGTGTAATGAGCTTTTCTGTTGACTTATTTTATTCAGTGCGTATTACTATTAAGTGAATGATCCGGTACAAAGTAAAGATAAACTTATATCGTGTTCCTCTCATTTCAAGAGTACAAAATAATGATAGTGTTTTCTCTCATTTCTAGAGTACAAAGTAAACATAAATCGTGTTCCTCTCAGAAAGCCTTCGTGACGATGACATAACCGCTCCCTCCCCCACCCACCCCCTTCCCCTTGATAAAAGTGGTGATTGTCAGGTGAAATGTCCTATCCCTTCCGAGACTGTTCTACCTCCATTATTCCCTTGTGTTTTTGTTCATACTCCATTTTTTTTTAATCCACCTAAAAAGTATGGAAAATTGTATGTGGCCCAATCTCTGAACAGTACACAACAATTTCATTTAGCCAAGTGCTAAATATCTATAATATAAGCGGGCTGTGTCTGTCCTTCCTTCCTTCCTTCCGTCCGTCATCGCTATAGATTTTGGGACTATAAAAGTAAACTACGCACCATGCTGTGCTTTTCAGTGCACCGCAGTGTCTTATTATAAGTATTAGAGTAGGGTTTGTTTATATAGCGGCATAGAGCTATTTTATCATTTCCACTGTTTGTACAATTTTGCATAACGTAAAGAGGATATTAAATACACGCACATTGCTAAAACATATTAAAAGGATCAATGTCAAATATAGTTTTCGTTAATATTCCTAGAAAAAGTGGATACATTTTAATAAGATAATAACAGTACGGTAGAAAAATCAAATTAATTTAACTCTTTTCTAATTTTGACAAAGGAGGTAATTTAAAAATACATTAAACTCACGCTAATAAAAAATGTAAATGCAAATATACGTTCGTCATAGAAGGAATTAGTGTTGCAATAATATAATTAGCAAAATGTGAATGCAAATTATTCGGATGTGTAAGAGGAAATTATTGTTAGAAAATTATAAATAGCATGGATTGATAAAAGGCAATCTTTTATTTATTTTATTCACTGAATGTAGGCCCTACTTTTTATTGCTTATAATTTTTAATCAACTATTCAGCACTATTATAGACGCGTCATCACGTTCATTAGGTGCGCAATGGTTTTAGTTATGAAACTCTATTGTAAATTTTTAAAATTTAAGTGCTGGAAATAAATTGCGTGAATGGATAAAGCGAAATATTGTATATATTATACATACTGCCTATTATTTATACTGTTTTCTAATTATTATTCTATCTTTCGGGTTTTATAGGAGAGGCGTAGCGAAGGGGGGGGGGCATATGTCCCCGGGTGCCGACCTTAGGGGGCGCCAAAGTGGGTTGGAAAAAATTTGCGAGGGGGGTGGTGGTGGAAATCGAAAGTTTTACGGCGAGGGGGGTGGTGGTGCAAATCGAAAGTTTGAGGGGGGTGCAAATCACCGGAAAGGGCGCGATTTGGCGCTACGGGCTAGACTATGAGCAATATGCCTTTATGATTGCATTTAAATTGTGTTTATGTTATGAGTGTTGTGTTTGTTTTTTCGTTGTTTTTTTTGCGTTCGTTTGTGTTGTGTTTAGTTTTGTTCTGTTGGTACATTTAAAAAAGATTTACCGTGGCGGAGCACGGGATGCAGCTAGTAAACATATAAAGGGAAACAAAGTATTGACGCCTTGTGAACAGTTTACTAAAGTGGAGTTGGATCAGTCTGGTTCTGGGGAAGCGTTAGGTGATGTCTGTAAGTCTCAACCTGCGTGCTATGTTCCCTCTATGTTCCCTCTAGGCTGCGCGGCCGTGCATTTGTTTTGAACAAGTCGTGCTGTCATTCTGTAAGATACAAATATCCTTGAAGAAGACGTTTTGAACACCGCGCACACAAAATACACGCTGCACACTATTTGTTTCACCTAGAGGAACTTCGGTTGTTTATTGTTAGTATTATCAGCTCTATTGAAGTCTAGTCGGTTGTTATATAAACTGGGTTGGTGTTACATACACTGGGTTGGTACTACCAAAACAGGGTTCGTATTATATTATTAATCAAACCAGATTGGTTTTACATAAACAGGGTTGGCATTACATAAACTATAAAGTCACTATTGGGTTGGTATTAAATAATCTATGTAGAGACGTGCGGATTGTGTCAAGTTCTCCACGACCAAGATAATCTGATGTCCCAGAAATGGAGCTCTCTGTGGCTGACACACCTCCGGCAACCCTTCCCCCCCCCCCCCCCCCCACATATCCCCAGCACCCACCCAACGGGAGGGGGAACTGTGCTAGAGATTGCCGTGAACTCTACACTCTCTGTTTATCATTTTCTACTTAGGTTTTTTATCGTTGTTTTTAAACGATGACCAAAGTATTCTGATAGTACTCGATCTCCGGTTTTCTCTCTCTCTCACACACACACACACACCTTCAGCCAGCCCTGGTTAATCCCGGCCTGTGATCGCGACACACACACACACACGCCTTCAGCCTACCCTAGTTAATCCCGGCCTGTGATCTCATTAGGTGCTGCTGTTTACCTGTACCATAGAAGTGGTCTTAGATGTCAACATAAATCTTGGAACTCTGAAGCACATCAGAGAAAAAAACGTGGGGGGGGGGGGTGGTGTGATTCCCCGTTTATTTAGTGAATTTAAAAGATTTTTTTTAAAATTGTTTGTCGTTTTATTTTATTGGTTTATGTTGTCTTCTAATGAGGAAATTTTCAATTCAGTTTGAGATTCATTTGAAATAAAATCACGTATATGGGAAAACAAACATTCAGAGGCGTACGACCCTTGCCGGCGCCCGGGGATAACCTTTCAATTTGGCGCCCCCCTGGGGAGCAACCTTTCAATTAGCACCCCCCCTCTCAAACTTTCATTTTGCACCCCCACCCCCACCCCCCCCCCCCCCCCCCCCACCCCCCATATATATTTTTTTTATATTTATAATGCAAAAATGCAGCTAAAATGAGATTTTAATTTGTTTTTCCAACACATTTTGGCGCCCCCTAAGATCGGCGCCCGGGGATATATGTACCCCCCCCTTCGCTACGCCTCTGTAGACATTATGTTTTGTGTTACATCAAACCAATGCTGCATTAGGCCTAGCGTAACCACAAACATGGTCCCTGTGAGCTGACCACAAACATGGTCCCTGTGAGCTGACCCTAGCGTGACCACAAACATGGTCCCTGTGAGCTGACCCTAGCGTGACCACAAACATGGTCCCTGTGAGCTGACTCTAGCGTGACCACAAACATGGTCCCTGTGAGCTGACCACAAACATGGTCCCTGTGAGCTGACCACAAACATGGTCCCTGTGAGCTGACCACAAACATGGTCCCTGTGAGCTGACCCTAGCGTGACCACAAACATGGTCCCTGTGAGCTGACCACAAACATGGTCCCTGTGAGCTGACCACAAACATGGTCCCTGTGAGCTGACCACAAACATGGTCCCTGTGAGCTGACCACAAACATGGTCCCTGTGAGCTGACCACAAACATGGTCCCTATGAGCTGACCCTAGCGTGACCACAAACATGGTCCCTGTGAGCTGACCACAAACATGGTCCCTATGAGCTGACCCTAGCGTGACCACAAACATGGTCCCTGTGAGCTGACCACAAACATGGTCCCTGTGAGCTGACCACAAACATGGTCCCTGTGAGCTGACCACAAACATGGTCCCTGTGAGCTGACCACAAACATGGTCCCTGTGAGCTGACCACAAACATGGTCCCTGTGAGCTGACCACAAACATGGTCCCTGTGAGCTGACCCTAGCGTGACCACAAACATGGTCCCTGTGAGCTGACCACAAACATGGTCCCTGTGAGCTGACCACAAACATGGTCCATGTGAGCTGACCACAAACATGGTCCCTGTGAGCTGACCACAAACATGGTCCCTGTGAGCTGACCCTAGCGTGACCACAAACATGGTCCCTGTGAGCTGACCACAAACATGGTCCCTGTGAGCTGACCACAAACATGGTCCCTGTGAGCTGACCACAAACATGGTCCCTGTGAGCTGACCACAAACATGGTCCCTGTGAGCTGACCACAAACATGGTCCCTGTGAGCTGACCACAAACATGGTCCCTATGAGCTGACCCTAACGTGACCACAAACATGGTCGCTATGAGCTGACCCTAGCGTGACCACAAACATGGTCCCTGTGAGCTGACCACAAACATGGTCCCTGTGAGCTGACCACAAACATGGTCCCTGTGAGCTGACCACAAACATGGTCCCTGTGAGCTGACCCTAGCGTGACCACAAACATGGTCCCTGTGAGCTGACCACAAACATGGTCCCTGTGAGCTGACCACAAACATGGTCCCTGTGAGCTGACCCTAGCGTGACCACAAACATGGTCCCTGTGAGCTGACCACAAACATGGTCCCTGTGAGCTGACCCTAGCGTGACCACAAACATGGTCCCTGTGAGCTGACCCTAGCGTGACCACAAACATGGTCCCTGTGAGCTGACCCTAGCGTGACCACAAACATGGTCCCTGTGAGCTGACCCTAGCGTGACCACAAACATGGTCCCTGTGAGCTGACCATAGCGTGACCACAAACATGGTCCCTATGAGCTGACCCTAACGTGACCACAAACATGGTCGCTATGAGCTGACCCTAGCGTGACCACAAACATGGTCCCTGTGAGCTGACCACAAACATGGTCCCTGTGAGCTGACCCTAGCGTGGACACAAGATGACCATCATGTGCTCACCTTGTGACAGCGACACGATAACGGCTGTGACCACTACATCGTTTTATCAGTCCAATCAATAACTTCTTGTCGTGGTGAACATCTTTATTGGACATCGATGGCCTTTGGTCGATGAAACAAGACTCTGCAGGAGATTTCAATGTTAACAAAATGGCTTACTGGAAGCCACTTGGTAATCATGGGCAACATTGGTTGCTGGGCAACCCTAAACAATTTATGAGGATAGCTAGTCCCCTACCTCTCCGCTTAACAAATAGTTTTTCCGTCTAGACTACCCCCCACCCAGTTTTTCCGTCTTGACTACTCTAGTCTACCCCATCCTACCATCCAGTTTTTTCCGTCAAGTCTACCCCACCCTACCATCCAGTTTTTCCATTTAGACTACACCCACCCTACCATCCAGTTTTTCCGCCTAGTCTACCCTACCATCCATGTGACACAATGACGGTACGGCTTATGGTAGATTCAGTTTATCTTTCAGACATTTTTTCGGAGGGGGGCAGTGTTTCTCTAAGAGATGGCTCTACAAAAGTCCATGTAATATGGCTAAGCTTTCATTTCCACGTTTCAAATGACAAGTATAAAATAATATTTAAAACGAAACTTTTTAAAAACTGAATTAGGTACGAAAACATTTTTTTACCCAAAGAAATATTTCGTTGATTTCCCCAGGACGGGTCAATTGGGTTAACGTTTGAGAGAGGGGTTCACTTGGCGGCTTATCTCGTAAATGGTGTAACTGTCATCCTCGGCTAGGCAAACAGCACGGCCATATGTAAGCCCCGGGCCGGGAGTTTCAAATGTGGCCGCCACGCTCAAGGACACACGCCTGTAAGACGTAGAAAATTGATCTGGCCACTTGTTTGATGTGTTTGACCCCATGTGACGCGGCAATGTCCTGTTGGTGGTGTTGTGATTTGGTGCTACACCGCGCTGACCTCAGACTTCCATCCTTCATTGATTGCTCTGCGTTAACATTAACTTGATAACTATATGTTACCATTAACTTGTTATTATGTGTTATTATATACTTGTCGCTATGTATTACAATCAATCATTTAGATTAAATTTATAGGAAAATATTTCTTAATTTAAAAAAATCAGCTTTGACTTGCTTATTTAGAATTTGAATGAAAGGATGTTAGCTGCCTCTGTGAGATGACATGTCATCTATCTGATGACACATCCTCTATTGATGGCAGATCTGTTGATATATAGTCACCATGGCAACAGTTTTTGCCTAGTTTGACACTGCAGCCCATTTGTTTACTTCTCTAAGAGTTTTTTTTTCTTCCTCAACCGGACATCTATTCCATTCAGTGGCCAATTGAAGTCAGAAACAACTTTATCAGGATCTGCCATCTCATTTCAATTGTGTAAGTGTGTAAACGTAATCAGCACGTTTCGTAATTAATTAGGTGTCTTTTCACATTATTTGCTTAGAGCTCTGTCGAATTTATGTCAAATTACAGCGACGCATCACAAATTGTTCATTAGTTCAGGTTTTAGACTTGAACAAAGTGTGTTGGAGAGTATACAAATTGTTCGTTAGTTCAGGTTTTATACTTGAACAAAGTGTGTTGGAGAGTATACAAATTGTTCGTTAGTTCAGGTTTTATACTTGAACAAAGTGTGTTGGAGAGTATACAAATTGTTCGTTAGTTCAGGTTTAAGACTGGAACAAGTGTGTTCGAGAGTATACAAATTGTTCGTTAGTTCAGGTTTTAGACTTGAACAAAGTGTGTCCAAGATCTATGCTATAACTCTGTGCCGATTGACCCCTGACCTAACACAAGGGATGTAATTCTTCAGGTCCCAAATGTCGTGTCTTGCTTGAAATCGCTGACTAACTGTGGGAGTTGTCACCCTTGATACCGCAGCTAGTTGGAGTTCTGGCACTTGCTGTTCCCCCATGTTGATAAGAAATTGGGTTATCCGCAAGCCGTGCGGTGTTTCCGATATTTCTCCTCAAAAATGCGGGAAAACAAGATAACAGTTATCACAGGTAAGAGGGCTGTCCTGTGCACGATGACAAGTTTGGGTCCCAGCATAAAGGTAAGTTTTTATAGGATTCAAATAAAAAATTTTTTCTTGGTGCAAAGATAAAAAATATTTTTTTTATTATTTTAATTTAGCATTTTTTTTTTACTTGGTGCAAGGCTAAAAAATAGGTTGAATTTTTTGTTTTGATTCATGGAACAAAAATAAGTTTTACTTAGATTTATTAATGCTCAAAAGTAAGTTTATTACATTTCTTGAACATTTTATTGCTAAGTGTTCTAAAAAATGTTGAAACAGCGAACTGATGTAAGGAATTAATAGCATAAAAGAAAGTTTTAGTTTAATCGTGCGTCTGAGCAGAATTTCTTTCAGGCATCATTTGGGGGAGCTCCAGTGTCCGCCCCGCCCACCGCCGCTCTCCCCCCCCCCCCCCCCGGAAATTTTAGCCCGTCCCCCCTGGCACAAAATATTTTTTGTTGAATTAATATTTCGTTCATTAAGAGAACGTAAGTCCTTGTTTAACTTTTTTGTTCAGACACAGACTTTTGTTGCTGTTGTTTTGTTTTAATAGTAAATTATTATTTGGATCTCTTGTGCTCCAATATTATGATAATTACAAAATCTAAACCCGTTTGTCACATAAACGTAAGGTGCTCTCGTTAGATTCAAATTACCATCAGTCACGGTCGCCTGGTTCTTGACAAAATACTGGGCCAAACTTGGCAACTCTCTAGATCTATGTATATGTAGGTAAAACACAGGCTATGTATGGATGTCACGAGTAGCAATCTGAGCTAATGTTTCTTGTTTGGCTCACATCAATAGCGTGATCTGGCGGAGGGTTACATTTGGTGCGTTCATTTGGTGCACCTGTTTTAAGTCATGCTAGTTCAGTAAAAAGTAAAAAGTAAAACATAGATCTAATTTATATACAAAAACTATAACAATAAAAAGCATTTATGTAAACATTTTAAAAGAAATATATTTCTGAGAGGGCATGCTAATTCAGTTTTTTCAATAACTTGTTTTGACAACAGACGCTTTTCTTTATGGTTATTTAAAAAGCGGTGCATTTTTATACTGAAATAAAATTATTTTATTTTTCTTAGTTTTAGTTCATACTAGCCGTCCCGGCCAGGCCCTGCTCTGGCTTCTGTGAAAAACCTTTCAGTTAAAGACCATTACCTGTGTGTTTAGTAATCATCATAAACCCGGCATTGCTCACCCAAACCACGACCAACCAAAACCAAAACAACAAAACGCAAACATAACGCTAACACAATTACAAATACAAACGAAAACAAAAACCTAGCAACAAACCCAACCACAACCACAAACAACAATACAAACACAAAGAAAAAACAAACAAAAAAGCAAACGAAAACAAAAACCTAACAACAAACCCAACCACAAACACCAATACCAAAAAAAAAACAACGAAAAAGCAAACGAAAACAAAAACCTAACAACAAACCCAACCACAAACACCAATACCAACAAAAAAAAAAAAAAAAAAAAAAAAAAAAAACGAAAAAGCAAACGAAAACAAACCAAATCCAAACGCAAAACCAACCAAAAACACAAATACAAACCCAAACAAAAAAAACACAAACAAAAACGAAAAAAGAAAGAACAAAAACGAACCAAATCAAAACGCAACCACTAACGCAAACCCACCTAAACACAAAGAAAACACTAACGCGAACATAAACGCCCGGGGCGGAATCGCCTGTTTTAGCTTAATAAACGACTATAGTACCCCAACTTATTCATAGTTTTTGCACTCACTTAAACGAACGCGCCTGTTTCAATTTAATGAACAATTATAATACTCCAAGCTTATCCGTAAAATACCTACAACATTTGCACTTGATCAATCCCCGCTAATTATGTAATTATTTTTTTTCCCAACACCAAAACAAAGTAATTAAAAAGTAAATGCTTTTCAACTAATGCAATGGTTTTATAAAGGGAAGTAATTGTGTTTTGCCTAATTTATCAAAGGGAAGTAAGCGCTATAGGACTAAATAAAGACATAATTAGAATTTTTGTAAAAGATGATATTTTTTTAAAACTTGTGTTTAATGAACATGCCGACAATTATTACTATAATTTGAAAAATGAAAATTATTTCCCAACACTTTTAATAGTAATTTTTTAACTCATAAATTTAGACCAACGCGCACGATAATTTTCTAACACTTAAATCCATCGATAACCAGCGACAAACAAACATATGCGTTACAGAATTGAGCTTTATATATTAGATATAAAAGCTTACTGGTTTTTTAATGAATATTTACTATATATATGAACTTTCATAATGACTTATTTTATTAGGAATTTTTTTTCAAATAGGCACGCAGCATTAAAGTATAGCTATTTATAAGTTGTATTGATAGCCAGAGGGGTCGCGAGGCGGAGGCGGGGGATGCGGACCGCACCGAGTGATACCATTTAGGGGGGGGGGGGTGACACCAAGACAAAAAAAAACAAATGCAAGATATATAGAATAAATGTTTTTTGCCAGTTCAGCGAATGATTAATTAGATTTAAAAACTATTTTAAGTACAAATATATGATCCCGACAAGCGGGGGTGGGGGTGACACTATGAGGTAAACATGTTTACTATATAGAAAACAATGCTATACCCAGCTATAGAAAAACATCATTAGTTTGAATGTGAACAACTTAAAGCATTTACCTGGGGGTGGGGGGGGTTGAAAAGAACTGCAAAATTTACAGTGGAAAAAAGGGGGTGACACAATGAGGTGCCGCACCGGGTGGCACCCGTCACCCGACCTAGCGAAGCAACTGTTGATAGGCACGCGGCATTAAAATGTAGCTATTTATAAGTTGTATTGATAGGCATTAAAATGCAGCTGATTATAAGTTGTATCAAATGTAGGGTAGACGCCAATCCGGTTAACTATTAGTTATGTCGCCAACACCCCACCCCTCCTCATACACCTTTTCTGCTGTCTTATATTACGAGTATATTTTTGGAAGATCCGGCATTTGGTCTAGTGTTAAGCTAGGAATACAAGGTAAACCTTGTGCTGGTTTACACTAATGGTTTGAGGACCGCTGAGACGTGTGTAGCTTGAGCCATACAATGGAGGCACAAGTTTGCTACGAGTGGAACTGATTTAGATAACGATACCGGCTAGGATCAACCTTACTCTTGTCACTGTGAAATCTGGTACCACTCTGTTCCAATCTTGTGGTGCCGTCCTAATCCAACCATGAGGTGCCGCCCTAATCCAACCTTGTGGTACCGCCCTAATCCAACCTTGTGGTGCCGCCTTAATCCAACCTTGTGGTGCCGCCCTAATCCAACCTTGTGGTGCCGCCTTAATTTAACCTTGTGGTGCCGCCCTAATCCAACCTTGTGGTGCCGCCCTAATCTAACCTTGTGGTGCCGCCTTAATTTAACCTTGTGGTGCCGCCCTAATCCAACCTTGTGTTGCCGCCCTAATCCAACCTTGTGTTGCCGCCCTAATCCAACTTCGTGGTGCCGCCCTAATCCAACCTTGAGGTGCCGCCCTAATCCAACCTTGTGGTGCCGCCCTAATCCAACCTTGTGGTGCCGCCCTAATCCAACCTTGTGGTGCCGCCTTAATCCAACCTTGTGGTGCCGCCCTAATCCAATCTTGTGGTGCCGCCCTAATCCAACCTTGTGGTGCCGCCCTAATCCAACCTTGTGGTGCCGCCTTAATCCAACCTTGTGGTGCCGCCCTAATCCAGTCCTAGGTCCTGTGTTCTGCAATAATAAAACTTCTTTTAATTAGGCTAACTCTAATACATTTCAATGTCACCACATGATAGAGTGGCGGATTAAATACCATGGTCACGTGGGGGCTTACCGGATTATATCCTAATCGGGGCCAATAATGTAAAGAAGTTTGTGGTTTGTTTTTTTGTGCTAACATCAAGAGGAAAAGTAAACTTAATGAAAAGGCACATATAATACAATACAATATTTAATACGCCTATATATCAGTATGTATGTATATATATATATATATATATATATATATATATATATATATATATATATATATATATATATATAATATATATCAAGTTCAATTCTGTATGTTTGTTTGTAAAATGTTTGTAAAATGTTTGTCGTGGATTACAAAGGAATATAAGAAAAAACGAATAAAAACGATACTCCGATGGATTCAAGTTGTTAGATTATTACAGCGCTCATGGTCTACATTTATGAGTTTAAAATTACTATAATTACTATTGAAAGTCTTTAAAAACAATTTTCATTTTATATACTTAGAATAATAATTTTCAATTATGAACATCACATAAATTTTTTTTTAAAAAGTGTATCAACGTTTATAAAATTTCTAAAATTGTGTCTGAAATGTATTTGCATTTTGTCCTTTAGTTCTCATAACGTCCCTTGATTTGGAAAACACAGTTACTTCCCTTTAAAAACCATTAAATCGGGGGGAGAAAGAATTTACTTTTTATTACTTTGTTTTAGTGTTAGGAAAAAAATAATTACATAATTAGCGGGGATTGATTAAGTGCAATATTGTAGGTATTTTTAATACTGCCTTTTATTTATTCAATACACTGAACTTACTGTTTACTAATTATTTTTTTTAAATCAATAACAGTTAATAAGCCAGGTCCTACATATCCTATATGTTTATTTCTTTCCGTTTACGGATAAGTTTGGAGTATTATAATTAGTGATTAAATTGAAACAGGCGCGTCCGCCGGCGCCCCACCAGGGTTCAATTTGGTCCCTGGGCTATCCTGTGAGCGCTATGGTGCATAATTTCGCTTTAAACAGTGCGATATACTATGGATAAGAAAGGTTATTATAGACTTTAAGTGAATCGAATCCGGGAGTCCTCAGGCACCCAGACCGGGTGCTATGTGGGGCCCCGGGCATTCCCGTGTTCGGTTTGGCGCCTATGTTCGTTTAAGTGAGTGCAAAAGACTATACATAAGTTGGGGTATTATAGTCGTTTATTAAGCTGAAACAGGCGATTCCGCCGGCGCCCTAGCATGGTACGATTTGGGTTTGCGTTAGTGGTTGGGTTTGCGTTTTGATTTGGTTCGTTTTCGTTGTTTCTTTTTCGTTTTCGTTTTCGTTTGTGTTTTTTCTTTGTGTTTGTGTTTGTATTTGTGTTTGTGTTTGTGGTTGATTTTGTGTATTTGTTTGTGTTTGTGGTTGGGTTTGGGTTTGTGTTTGTGTTATCGTTTGTATTAGTGTTTGCGTTTATGTTATGTTTCCTTTCTTTAGTTTGGTTTTGGTTTGGGTTGATTGTGGTTAGGGTGGGCAATGCGGGTATATCCCGATTATTAAACACACATGTCATGTTTCTTTACAGATAGGTTTCAGAAAGCTGTTTTATAGACACCTGCACCAAACTAAACGAAGATATACAATTTTAATATAGCCTTACCGGTTTGTGTTTTGTTGTGTTTGTGTTGTGTTTGTGTTGTGTTGTGGTTTTGTTTGTATTGTGTTGTGTTTGTGTTGTGTTTTGTTTGAGTTGTGTTTGTGTTGTGTTTGTGTTGTGGTTGTGTTATGTTGTGTTTGTTTGTGTTATGTTCGCGTTTCTTTTTTGTGTTTTGGTTTTAGTTGGTTGTGGTTAGGGTTTACAATGCCGGGTATATGCTGATTACAACAACACACATGTCAAGGTCCTTTACTGATAGGTTTTTCACAGAGGCCAGAGCAGGGCCTGGCCGGGACGGCTAGTATATATATATATATATATATATATATATATATATATATATATATATATATATATATATATATATATATATATACGCTCGTTATCATGCAGTTTGTTATTTTTGTTCTTGATATCAGGATATTATAAAACAATTCATTATTCAGTATAGTGTGTAATCTTGTAAAAATAAAATATGAGAATAAAAGCAGTTAATATAAACATTTCGTATCTAAGCTCAACCAGTAACCAACTTTAGCAGACGACTTCAGTGACTAGCAACATGGCCGAGTTAAAGAAAGTCAACACCTACAACAACGACATCAACACCTACAACAACGACATCAAACTGACGGAAGTTGACCTCAACGGCAAGGTACACCAGGCACACGACAACAAGGGATTTCAGGACGAGGCTGATGCACCAAACGTATGTGTCCGTTGTGTGAACTTCTACCGGAAATAAAATTGTTACGACGCTCTTAGTCTCACTGTTAACATTTGCCTTTCAGGGTCTGCCCGTTTTAGTCAATGACTACGATGGATCTCAAACCAACCCAGATGAGGACCCCGGGTGTTTTTCACGGGCAGTCAACAGAATTCAGACGGCCGTGTCAAGATTCTTTGAGACCAATCGTCACGTGATCAAAGCTGTGGTCTTGTTGGTGCTGCTGGCTGCCTACTTCTCATATTTTGCTTACGCCATGTACTACAGGTGAGTACGGGTGTTGTCTAAGGTGAATACAGGTGTTGTCTACATGTTGTCTACAAAGTAGCTTTGGTATGAGCACATGTTCTAGTGAAGTCTTCTTTTAAGGAATCTAATTCATAAATTTAACAACCTTTAGCTATACAATAGATAATGTTGACATTATAATGTTGGTTGGAACATTTCAGGTTCGGCGATGAAGGATCGTGGAGACTTCTGATTGTTACAATTCTTTGTGCACTGGGCATCGTGTTCAAGACGTTTCTCAAGTACAGAAGATCTGATGACAATGGCAATGACAGCCGGTGGAAACTCTCCAAGCTCAGAAAGTTCCTGGGGAAACTCAGGTAATCTTTGTGTTCTTGTGTAAATCTCTTTCAGTCTCAAATTAAAATGTTATGTTAATGGAATGTCAAAGCCTGTCAATAAATGGTATAAATTACATAACGATTTTTGAAATGCTTACTTTTAAAAGTTAAGTTAATTTATTTCTCTTTGAATGAAATGTGTTTACCGTCTCTTTTGAAATGTGTTTACGGTCTTTTACCCAGACTGCCCATCGTGATCCCTATCGTGGCTATTGTCGCCATATTGATCTACGTGATCGTCGACGTGGCACTTGACCGGCCCAGAAACATGATCAGTGCTGGCGGGATCGTCTTTTTCCTCGGCTTCTGTTTTGTTTTCTCTAATAACCCGGCTAAGGTATTGGCTTTTTTTTAGAGTATTTTGTTTGGTTTTCACATTTTTAACCTCTTTATGATAACTTGTTTTAGCCTTTTTAATTTGAAGCCAATCATGAAATACCATCATGTCTAGTAGAAGTCTGTGTTTTGGCTTTACAACTGCTATTTATAACATGTCCCTACAAATGTCCTACTGCCCACAGGTCAAGTGGAGGCCAGTGCTGTGGGGTTTGGCCCTACAGCTGCTATTTATAACATGTCCCAACAAATGTCCTACTGCCCACAGGTCAAGTGGAGGCCAGTGCTGTGGGGTCTGGCCCTACAGCTGCTATTTATAACATGTCCCAACAAATGTCCTACTGCCCACAGGTCAAGTGGAGGCCAGTGTTGTGGGCTCTGGCCCTACAGCTTCTATTTATAACATGTCCCAACAAATGTCCTACTGCCCACAGGTCAAGTGGAGGCCAGTGTTGTGGGGTCTGGCCCTACAGCTGCTATTTGCCCTGCTCATCCTGCGCACGTCTTGGGGTCACGATGCCTTCCAGTGGCTGGCGGACAGAATCACAGAATTCCTGGCCTACACCGATGCCGGCTCCATCTTTGTCTTTGGTGAAGTCTATGACCAGCATTATTTTGCTTTTAAGGTTTGTTAAAAGTAGTTTTTTTTATACGAATATTTTTACCTGAAGCTTGAGCCTCTTACTAAGGATATCCCTGTGAGCAAGATGTAAGCTTTTCTTGTAATAATGTGATATTTTTCTGATTAAGATCTTGAAATAATTAGAGAAAGCTCTGCAGTTAACAATTAACCTAATCCTCGCTTGTTTCTTCCCCCCCCCCCTCCCCACTCCAGGTGCTGCCAGTGGTGGTTTACTTCAGCACGTTTGTCGCCATGTTGTATTACCTGGGCGTCATGCAGGTCGCCATTAAAGTCATCGGTCAGTTCCTGGCCCTCTGTCTGGGCACATCACCTTCAGAGTCCATCAACGCTGCTGGAAATATTTTCCTTGGCATGGTTAGCTATGTGCACCTTGAATACCAGTTACATTGTACATCACGTTTACAGCTAAATAAAATATCTGTTTTGTTTTTATTTATTTACATTAAGTTTAAAACTAAATCAAACATCCGGCTTTTATGTAATAACATATTTTAATAAAGTTTATCCAGAACCTATTTAAGTCTGTCGAGCTGCTGGGTAATGACCAAAAACAGAAAAAAATATTAAAACGAACTAGTCGATTTGTTTACTTCACCCACTGTTTCAGACCGAGGCTCCACTGATGGTCCGACCATTCCTGAAGGATATGACAAAGTCAGAGATACACGCAGTCATGACTGGCGGGTTTGCTACAATAGCTGGTGGTGTCATGGCGGCTTACATTCTCTATAAGGTGTTTACACTCAACCTCTAAGTTGTCATAGTTTACATTCACCCTTTAATGTGTTATCGTTTACATTTACCCTCTGAGGTGTCATAGTTTACATTCACGCATATATGGTGGTTAAATTTAAAATTTGACTATGTCCTGCTAGAATATAGTCATTTTATAAATTTAACATATGTAAGGGTTTTTTTTTAAATTTACTTTAAAAATATACCTGTAATCAATTAATTGATTAATTAATTGATAAAATAGACGTACTGATAAAGTTGTAACAACTGCCCCTGTGTTTCAGGTCCCGGCCAACCATTTGTTGTCCGCCTCTGTCATGTCCGCCCCTGCCGCTCTGGCCATGGCCAAGCTCTTCTACCCCGAGACTGTGAACAAAAAACACAACGCCAAAGACTTCTACAACATCCCCAAAGGGTTTGATCATTTGTTGTCTTCGATATCATTTTAAATTTGTTGTCCATTGGATATAGAATTTATAATACAAGTTTTATTACATTTATTCTGACGTCAAATCTTGCATCATTAGCCAATAATCTGACCACATTGAACTAACAGTAATTAGATTGATCAACATTTGACCAGTATACTTTGACATACAGGACTGAAAAGAATTTGATAGAAGCCGCTTCCAACGGAGCGTCAATGTCCGTCAAGGTTGTGGCCAACATCGCAGTAAACCTCATCGCCTTTGTGGCCCTGCTCCACTTTGTGAACGCTAGTCTCACGTGGTTTGGTGACCGTGTCGGTGTGGAGAATCTAACTTTTCAGGTGTGTTTTAGTTGGTGTGGACAATCTAACTTTTCATGTGTGTTTTAGTCGGTGTGGACAATCTAACTTTCCAGGTGTGTTTTAGTTGATGTGGACAATCTAACTTTTCATGTGTGTTTTAGTCGGTGTGGACAATCTAACTTTTCAGGTGTGTTTTAGTCGGTGTGGACAATCTAACTTTCCAGGTGTGTTTTAGTTGGTGTGGACAATCTAACTTTCCAGGTGTGTTTTAGTTGATGTGGACAATCTAACTTTTCATGTGTGTTTTAGTTGGTGTGGATAATCTAACTTTTCAGGTGTGTTTTAGTCGGTGTGGACAATCTAACTTTTCAGGTGTGTTTTAGTCGGTATGGACAATCTAACTTTCCAGGTGTGTTTTAGTTGGTGTGGACAATCTAACTTTTCAGGTGTGTTTTAGTCGGTGTGGACAATCTAACTTTCCAGTTGTGTTTTAGTTGGTGTGGACAATCTAACTTTCCAGGTGTGTTTTAGTTGATGTGGACAATCTAACTTTTCATGTGTGTTTTAGTTGGTGTGGATAATCTAACTTTTCAGGTGTGTTTTAGTCGGTGTGGACAATCTAACTTTTCATGTGTGTTTTAGTTGATGTGGACAATCTAACTTTTCATGTGTGTTTTAGTTGGTGTGGTTTATCTAACTTTTGAGGTGTGTTTTAGTTGGTGTGAACAATCTAACTTTTCAGGTGTGTTTTAGTTGGTGTGAACAATCTAACTTTTCAGGTGTGTTTTAGTTGGTGTGAACAATCTAACTTTTCAGGTGTGTTTTAGTCGGTATGGACAATCTAACTTTCCAGGTGTGTTTTAGTTGGTGTGGACAATCTAACTTTTCAGGTGTGTTTTAGTCGGTGTGGACAATCTAACTTTCCAGTTGTGTTTTAGTTGGTGTGGACAATCTAACTTTCCAGGTGTGTTTTAGTTGATGTGGACAATCTAACTTTTCATGTGTGTTTTAGTTGGTGTGGATAATCTAACTTTTCAGGTGTGTTTTAGTCGGTGTGGACAATCTAACTTTTCATGTGTGTTTTAGTTGATGTGGACAATCTAACTTTTCATGTGTGTTTTAGTTGGTGTGGTTTATCTAACTTTTGAGGTGTGTTTTAGTTGGTGTGAACAATCTAACTTTTCAGGTGTGTTTTAGTTGGTGTGAACAATCTAACTTTTCAGGTGTGTTTTAGTTGGTGTGAACAATCTAACTTTTCAGGTGTGAAATTAATTTTTAATTGTAAATACCTTCATGTTAAAACTTTCTGCTTATTTCAGTTGGTCTGCTCCTACCTGTTTTGGCCCCTGTCCTTCCTTATGGGAGTTGACCAAGATGATTGTAGAACTATCGGTGAATTGATCGGGACAAAAATACTTCTCAATGAATTTGTGGTATTTATCCTTTACTCTGTGAATTTATTTATTTCTCATTAACACTTTAATGTTACCATATTATACCATGCAGGCTGAGTCATAAAAAATATGTCAATTGGTATGTAAAAAAAAGGGGTATGTAAGCAGTGTTTCTTCCAGACTTTTTTCTCCGGATGGGGCACTTGAAATTTTCGGGGGGGGGGGGGCGGTAGACTTTCTTCGGGGGGGGGGGGGGTGGGGTGGCGGACACTGTTAAAAGTATATATTTTCTATATAAATTATATAAATTTCATTTCGTTCGGGGGGGGGGGTGCGGTAACAAATTTTCGGGGGGGGGGGGGGGGCTTCGCCCTCCCGAAGAGATGCCTGGAAGAAACTCTGTATGTAACTACGTGAGGAAATTAATACATAATATTTTTGGGGACAGCTAATGCATCTACTTTCTTAGATAGCTTTGCTATGTCATTGACATGAATTGTGATAAAATGATGAAAATCGAAAATTTAACTGCATTTTCTATCAGGAATATATTACTAGGTAGGCCTACATATGTAGAGACTAAGTTATTAATACCATTACCATGGACACATCGAAAATAAGCAATAGATTTATTATCCAAGTTTTATAATGTTACTAATTAATCATAAAAATAAATTAAAATATTTCAAGGAACACTCCAAAAATCAAACGTATTTAGTGCCATTAGTTTGGTTATTTTAAGCCCACTTTTAAAATACAATTTGGCTTTTCTCACTTTTGTTGAACAATAAGAGCGGTTAAAACGTGTGGGCAAATGGATAAAAAATATAAAACATGGATTCATAAAAAGGCACAAACAAATCTGGTCCATCTTGGTTAACAAACACAAATATAAATTCCCCGTGTAAAAACTTCTCACCCTGAATCTTCTGTCTCCCCGGATTCCATGTAACCATCCTGTCATGACTTGAACCATGTAACCATCCTGTCATGACTTGAACCATGTATTTCTCTCCCCTAGGCTTACGTGGACCTGTCTAAATATATCAACAATCAAATCACGTTTGATGAGTACTGGTCAAACTTTACATCCAACAGTACAGCCAATCTGACAGGTGTGTGGACCTACATAGATGATGATATTTACCTGAATGACACACAGGTGACGTTAACACACGGACTTATCTCCGTAAGTTTTTCTTGTAACAAAGTGTCCTATTGTGTTTGAAATATGTCAATCCCACGTACAACCTAAACATCATTATTCTGTGTAACAATATATTTTTGTTCTGTAGAGAAGATCAGTTGTGATAGCGACGTATGCCCTGTGTGGATTTTCAAATCTGTCATCTATGGGCATGCAACTTGGGGCATTAGGTGCCATGGCACCAGAGAGAAAAGGAGATCTTTCAAAAATTGTGTTTCGTGCCATGTTAGCAGGAAATGTTGCCTGTTTTTTAACTGCTTGCATCGCAGGTAAACATTTATAGCATGCATATACATACATATATATATATATATATATATATATATATATATATATATATATATATATATATATATATATATATATATATATATAAAGAGAGAGCGAAAGACAGTGAGAAAGAAAGAGAGTGTGTTGTGGTGGGTCAGCTCGTGAAGACGATAGGTAGCGATTTGACTGACTGTATATTCCTGCATAGATGTTGTTTACTGCTCATATCGATAGAGCATATCGGGCTCTACTTTTACAATGAACTGACTGTGCTCTTCTTGTATTTCAGGGCTGTTTTATACCTCCTGAAGAAAGACCTGATATATAGCTGTTTTGTTATTCTACTTGAAGGCATTATTTTTTTTTTTGCTTACCGAGTGTATCTTTACAAATCTCGACTTCCGGTTTAAACAAATATCAGGGGATTAGAAAATTTTACTTTTTATACATTTCATTGATCCACCTTGGATAACTGTATACATTGAGAGGCTAACAGACTTCCCTTAAGAGACGTGTGAAAGAAGTACGGTTACTGGAAAAAAAAGCTCAACGGAAAACTATGCACAACAAGTACGCAAGGGCATTTTGTTTTCTTAAATCGAACATTTAATATACATTTGGAAAGAATGACCACGGGTACATTGTAGCATATTTCCCCGAAAATATGAAAGTCTTTTAGTATAATTATTTTGTATTTGAGCATTTTTCTGTTTGCGCAGTTTTCCGTTTTCGAATTTTTCGTGGAACGTCAATTTCCTTTGCGTAATTTTTGGTCGCGCATTTTTCAGGTCACCGTACGATGTAATGATCACATGTGTTGACTTAACACGGCACATGTGTGCTCTTTACACGTGTACAGTGTGACCCGTTACATGCCTTTGTTTTTAGTCAAGATGTGCATTTGTGACACGTCACATGTTCATCTCTAGATGAGAAATGTTGTTGCGCATTACATATTCCTACATATATTTATATTGATATATATATATATATATATATATATATATATATATATATATACGTGCATGTGTTTTCTGTGTTTACGTATATATATATATATATATATATATATATATATAACTCATATGTATATGTTTATGAGCGTACGTGTGTGTAATGGTTTTGTATATGTATGTGTGTGTGTTTTATTGACATATATATGGATGATTCAAAAGATATATTTGTTTTTATAGTTGTGCCTCTAAATCTGGGGTCATATTTGTATATTGCATTAAGCCTCATGTTGTGATTATATTCGTTTATTGCATAAAGCCTTGTGCCCCTTAATCTGGGATTATATGTATATAGCATCAAACTCGTGTGTGCTCCTTGCATAAACCTCCTGTATATATGTTCTAGTTCATGATATATTCCAACTAACTTTATTTACTGTGTAACAACATTAGTGCCAAAAATTTTACTTTTTATTTTGACGTCATCTCAGTTTCTGATTAACATTAAATATATACATTCACTGCCTGTTTTGTATAAATTATAAAAAGACACTGCCTACTTGATATAAAACAAGCACCATTATACAATACACTGCCTGTCTGATATAATAGTTCAATCCTGTCATTTATTTACAATATTAAATACATACAAATTATTCATGGTTTGGCTTAGAATTGTGTGTACAAGTTCAAGTTGGCCATGTTATTTTATTTGTATCAAAGCATATTAAAATCTAACAAACTATCATCCACTTGGTCTGTGTTATTTCTATCAGAGCCTGGGTATAAGTCACATCAGCCACATGGAGGTTCACCAACAACCAGGTATACATTAAAGTTCACTCACACTTCACTAATACTTTTGTAGTGGAGAAAACCAGCTGACAAAATTTACTGGTTGAAATTTGATTATAATTTTAAAAGTGCTTACATTATAATGGTTCAAAATGTCTATATCTAAATCAAACTCATTACTGGTGCACGCTGTACCTAATTAATATAATGAACAAGTGTGATGTCATGTTTAAAAGTTTTGAACATTCGTACTTGAACTGATTTAAGAAAAACAACTAAACTAAAATATTTTGTTTATATTTTGTGAGGCCTGCCCAAACAACAAACACGACGCAACCATTTTTTTCGACAACAATCGCTGTATATTTTACATAATATTTCACAACCCGTTTGCTAACAGCCATAGAACCAGTTCATCCAGAGATTAAAGCCAAGATTACCAACGGTTTTATTCGGTGACTTGCCGGAGCCATTGGCGTTCCATGGGCCTGTGAATAGATTATGGGGAGGGGGTGGAGACTATTGGGGGGGGGGGGGACTGACATCCAGTGACATGCATTTAAATCTAAGCTACCTCAAATGTTCACGGTTTTGAAAAGGATTTTGCTATATTCTTAGGTGAGAAAAAAATGCAATGCTTCTATTTATTCACTAGGGTAAAATTCTCACAAAACATTATTTTCAAAGCATAGAAATGTATACAAATATTTCTGTTAAAATTTTTTAGCTACAGTGTCGACCCATTTTATGAAGCTCTATGGCACTGCTATTGTACAAATTGCCTTACATCACATAACATGTGGCTATCAATTATTCTGTTGGTAGTTTTTTGTTAACCTCATTCTGCAACTGATCTTATACCTGATGATAACGATGTAGGGCTACTACTTGTTCTAATATCCAATGATAACGATGTAAAGTTTCGACCCAGTTGCGCCATAAAGTTGTAGATGTCCTAGAGCCATAAAAAGAAGTGCCAATAAATCGTGTATATAATTACTGCTGCCTGCGCACCGTGCCGGACGCATGTCATGGTTGATGGTACTAATCGCCCGCATGTCATGGTTGATGGTACTAATCGCCCAGTTCTGGGATACCGCTCGCACGTTGATAGCTGCCCTGTGTTGCCACGGTTTTTCATGGAAAGTCATGCGGGGGGGGGGGGGGACACAAGATAAGAGTTGTAACAGGTAGAGTTGTTATTGCTCTGTTACAGCCGCGTTCAAGGCTGTAGATTGTAACATTCAATGATCGGATTGCTAGGTATAAGGTGCTAGGTTTGTCACATTCAAGCCGCTAGGAAGCCCACATTCAAATGTCTAGGATTGTCACATTCAATGTTTCTAGGATTGTCACATTCAAAGGTCTAGGATTATCACATTCAATGGTCTAGGATTATCACATTCAATTGTCGAGGATTGTCACATTCTATGTTTCTAGGATTATTACATTCAAAGGTCTAGGATTATCACATTCAATGGTCACATTCAATGGTCTAGGATTGTCACATTCTATGTTTCTAAGATTATCACATTCAAAGGTCTAGGATTATCACATTCAATGATCAAGGATTATCACAATGAATGGCCAACGGGTATCATATTCAGTGGTTTTGGATTGCCAGACAAAAGGCGCTAGTATTGCCAACAAACTCAATCCTCTAAAGTTGTACCATTTTTATTGTTATAAAATTAACATTTTCAAAGTTTTAGGATTCCCTCATTGTTTCACGCAAGCCTAGATGTAAGACATGTAAATTAAAAATTAACCGGTACGTTTGATATTTAGCTGTCCTGTAAAATATTTCATTGAATTTTAATTTTCTCAATACTAATATGCATTATCCTATGGCTGTTGATGTTGCTTCTATCAATTATTTTCATTAAATATATAGTCAAACAAAATAACGTATTGTGTACTTAGATTGTCAAACAAAATAACGTATTGTGTACTTAGATTGTCAAACAAAATAACTTATGGGGCTGTTTATCTAGATTTTGTCAATTAGTCGCATTAAAATATATTGCCCAAAAAGAAAACCTATTAGGTGCTTTGAACAATACAACGAAGAACATTGATGTAATCTGAAAGCTAACAGCTAAAGGCAAGCTTTCAAGAAAGCGACCAAGTTCCCATTTGCACTCGACAGTAGCAACAGTTGGGGGATTTAAAAAGGGAAGGGTACGGTTGCGTCCCATGTTGAAAACACTTTGCAAACGTCACTATGGTTATAATCTTTAGGCTATATATCCAATGCAAAAACGCAGTAGTGTATTTGTATAAGGTTTTTTTTTTTAAGATGGAAGCAATCAATCTCAATATAAAGCTCGGAGATAACATTTCGACTGCATGTAGCTACACGGTAGTCAAATTATATGTGTGTAGTGTACATATATATATATATATATATATATATATATATATATATATATATATATATATATATATATATATATATATATATATATATATATATATATATATACATTATGCTCTCAAATTCTGTTGATATTCGCAAGAAAATCAGGACAGGCGTCTGCCACAATAAACGCTACACGTCGTCATAGAGAGGACTGTGTTACAAGTTCACCAGCTGACCTTATTGTGTTGACCTGAGTTTTACACAGGTAAAAACGAAGGCGAACAATTGGAGTGTATTAGCTAAGCCTACATCACCAACACAAGAGTTCGTTCGTGTGCGATGATGTGGTCTCTCAAATAATCCAGTGCTCTTATGGCCGTGGACAGTCATTGTTGTAGTAAAATAATTATTTTATTTAGTCGCTTAAATACATAACCATATTATATAATAGCTTTCAGCGAAGCGTCGTTATTAGTTGGACGCTGTGCAATATGTTCCTAAACTCAACTCTCAGAAAGTGAAATGTAAAAACAAATATTTCTAAAATAAACCTCTCCAGGTGACCAACTTCTAGCAGACGACTTCAGTGACTAGCAACATGGCCGAGTTAAAGAAAGTCAACACCTACAACAACGACATCAACACCTACAACAACGACATCAAACTGACGGAAGTTGACCTCAACGGCAAGGTACACCAGGCACACGACAACAAGGGATTTCAGGACGAGGCTGATGCACCAAACGTATGTGTCCGCTGTGTGAACTTCTACCGGAAATGAACTTGTTACGACGCTCTTAGTCTCACTGTTAACATTTGCCTTACAGGGTCTGCCCGTTTTGGTCAATGACTACGATGGATCTCAAACCAACCCAGATGAGGACCCCGGGTGTTTTTCACGGGCAGTCAACAGAATTCAGACGGCTGGGTCCAGATTCTTTAAGACCAATCGTCACGTGATCAAAGCTGTGGTCTTGTTGGTGTTGCTGGCTGCCTACTTCTCATATTTTGCTTACGCCATGTACTACAGGTGAGTACAGGTGTTGTCTACAGATGTTGACTACAGGTGAGTACAGGTTTTGTCTACAGGTGATTACACGTGTTGTCTACAGGTGAGTAAAGGTGTTGTCTACAAATGTTGTCTACAAGTGAGTACAGGTGTTGTCTACAGATGTTGACTACAGGTGAGTACAGGTCTTGTCTACAGGTGTTGTCTACAGGGGAGTATAGGTCTTGTGTACAGGTGAGTACAGGTGTTATTTACAGGTGAGTACAGGTGTTGTCTACAGGTGAGTACACGTGTTGTCTACATTTGTTGTCTACAGGTCAGTATAGAATCTATACCATTAAGTTAACTTTTAGCTCAGCAATAGAAAATGTTGACATTATAATGTTGGCTGGAACATTTCAGGTTCGGTGATGAAGGATCGTGGAGACTTCTGATTGTTACAATTCTTTGTGCACTGGGCATCGTGTTCAAGACGTTTCTCAAGTACAGAAGATCTGATGACAATGGCAATGACAGCCGGTGGAAACTCTCCAAGCTGAGAAAGTTCCTGGGGAAACTCAAGTAATCTTTGTGTTCTTGTGTAAATCTGTTTCAGTCTCAAATTAAAATTTTATGATGATGGAATGTCAAAGCCTGAAAGCCTGTCAATAAATGATATAAATTACATAATGATTTTTGAAATGCTTACTTTTAAAAGTTAAGTTAATGTATTTCTCTTTAAAAGAAATTTGTTTACCGTCTCTTACCCAGACTGCCTATCGTGATCCCTATCGTGGCTATTGTCGCCATATTGATCTACGTGATCATCGACGTGGCACTTGACCGGCCCAGAAACATGATCAGTGCTGGCGGGATCGTCTTTTTCCTCGGCTTCTGTTTTGTTTTCTCTAATAACCCGGCTAAGGTATTGGCTTTTTTTAGAGCATTTTGTTTGGTTTTCACATTTTTAACCTCTCTATGATAACTTGTTTCAACCTTTTTACTTTCTCGTATATACGAAGTATAGAGAAAGTCTTGCAATCGTGCAAAAAAAAAAATCGAGATTTTTACAAATCTCGACGTTTCACACCTCACTGATACGGAAAAACATAATTTTGCAATCTTGTCCGTATGTCTGTGTGTCTGTGTGTCTGTCTGTCTGTCTGTCCGTGTGTAAACACGATAACTTGAGCTAGGTTGATGAAATTTCATATATAAGTATTTAATCAAAATCGTAGATCCGTATCAACTTTTGAGCGATTTCCGATAACCGGAAGTGGTACTTTTCCTACTTTGAATTTTTCAAAAGCCTATAACTTGAGTACTATTTCAGATAGATAAATGAAATTTCATATGTAAGTAAAAGATCTAATTCTCTACCTTCTATTAAATTTTGAGTCATTTTCGTTGACTGGAAGTAGTACTTTACGCTACTTCCGATTTCTCAAAAAACTAATGTAAATTTTAAAAGTAATAATAATATTGCGCACTATTATGCGCTTTTTTATTTGGCGTTCACTTGGTGTGCAATTAATTTGTCTACGAGATTTTATTCTATTTTTAAAACTTTAAGTATTTAAAATGGATTAAAAATCATGTCTATAGCCCGAGTTCCCATTTCCTGTTATTTTATATAAGAATATTCGAGAAAGTTTAGGGGAGATCACTCCCGGTTTATTTAATTTGAAGCCAATCATGAAATACCATCATGTGAAATAGAAGTCTGTGTTCTGGCTTTACAGCTGCTATTTATACCATGTCCCTACAAATGTCCTACTGCCCACAGGTCAAGTGGAGGCCAGTGTTGTGGGGTCTGGCCCTACAGCTGATATTTGCCCTGCTCATCCTAAAGACGACCTGGGGTCACGACGCCTTCCAGTGGCTGGGGGACAGAGTCTCGGACTTCTTGGCCTACACTGACGCTGGCTCCATCTTTGTCTTTGGTGACCTTTACGAGCAGCATTATTTCGCTTTCAAAGTATGGTTTACATTTTAGTGTGGTAATACACTGTGTGGGGGTTTTCTTGTGGGGTCGACATTCTTGAGAGATGTGTGGTGTGGTTAGGGTCAATCTTTGTGGTGTGGTCAAGTTGTGGGTTAGGGTCATTCTTTGTGTGACGGTCAGGGTATTCGTATTGTACGATTGCACTGAATGTGGAAGGTTTTACACTTAATGTGGAAGGCTTTACACTGAATGTGGAAGGTTTTACATTGAAAGGGGGGTTTTACATTGGGAGAGAAAAGTTTTACACTGAGTGAGGAAGGTTTTCACTGTAAAAGGTAAAAGTTTCGTCCCTGTGCTCTATAGTTTTCTAAACCCCCCCCCTCCCCCAGGTGCTGCCAGTGGTGGTTTACTTCAGCACGTTTGTCGCCATGTTGTATTACCTAGGCGTCATGCAGGTCGCCATTAGAGTCATCGGTCAGTTCCTGGCCCTCTGTCTGGGCACATCACCTTCAGAGTCCATCAACGCTGCTGGAAATATTTTCCTTGGGCAGGTCAGTTCTGTATATAAATATTGACATTCACTAGAATCTATAACATAACGCTGGTAGTAGTGTGTCAGTCCATCAGTCATCGCTATAGATTTTGGAACCATAAAAGTAAACACATCACATGTCGTGCATCGCTGTGTCTATTATAAGTAATAGAGTAGGGTTTGTTTATATAACGACTTAACCCTTTATTTACGGAATTATGTTCTGAATGAGATTTTTACTTAAACAATGTGTTACTATATTGCTTTTGGCACATTCAAAGCATATATCGAAGGAAATTTCGTTTCATAAATTTTTAATGGCCCAAACAGATATTGGTACTTATAAGTACCGTCAGTAAACTAGGACATTTTTTTTGAAAATTTTTTTTTTTACAAAACAGGAACAAACGATACAATTTATTAACTAATAACATGGCAATCATTATAACAATCACTTTTTGTAATTTTCACACATAAATACAGCACAAAAGTATATTTTGAGTACGATTTTTACTGGATTTTCTATCGGAAAACATCTTAGACCTCAAACACAGCAAAAGTAGTCGACATGTCATGCTCCCTCAATCTTGTCTGTGGTCTTTCTAGTGTTGCAACGGTTGCCGGAATGAATATGCTTTTGCTGGAAGCTTCCAATAACTAGTACAATGAGCCGCATAAACAAACAAAAGCCTAGTCATTCAGCACACAACTACTAGAAATACTAATATAATTGTAGCCTACTATAATGTTATGACAAGTCTACACTACAGTGCAAAGTTCATAAATAGAAGTGAGCTCAATGTGTTTTGGAAGAAGTAGTGGATTACTCTTTTCTGTTTACTGATTAAAATTTACCTTATAGATCTATACTATATGCAGAAGTATGGACTATTACTAGTCTACAGGTTTACATTATGTAAATGCTAGTTGTTGTAGGCAAGACAGTTCATTGCAGTAAATATAACTAACAAATTAAATCTTACAACCTGAACTAGGCTTTGGTATACAAATGAAGTATACTAAACCTTATAAACGAGCCTGCAACTGATACCTTTATTCTTGTTATTTTTTTACTACTAGAAATGAACATGTAATTACAATATTTCTTAGGTAAACCATATGCAAACCTTCTTATAAATGTGTAAATATCATTTTTTGAGTACATTTCGATAAGTAATTATCAAGACAATATTTATGTAACTCCACCTAACAAATCTGCAATTTTCTAAAAATCCTAAAAAAAATGACCGTGTGCCCTGACGGTACTTATAAGTCCACTTGTAAACATCGATCTAATACAAAGACAATTTGATTAAAATTGTATAACTAGAAGTTAAACGCGTTTGCCTGACTATTGAAGGTGCCAATAAAAAATATTTGGGGTTGAAAACTTGAAAAATAAGGTAAAACAAAAGGAAATCAGGAACGGGTGTGAGAAATGTACAGAAAAATTGTGAACTACCGATATAGCAAGACATTGAAAAAGCGCCACACCATTATTTTTTTAAAAAACATTGATACCTCCGACTACCGGCGACTCGGGGGAGATAATACTATAAAATACATCAATAATTTTTAAAATTCGTATTTAATTTAATATAATACAGGCACTTAATTAAAGTGGTACTTATAAGTACCGTCAGTAGATAAAGGGTTAAATTTATTTTATAGTTGCTACAGTTTTTACTCTTTTGCATAACGTAAAGAAAATATTAAATACACGCAAATTGTTAAAACATATTAAACGGATCAATGTCAAATATCCTTTCTTTTCGTTTAGATTCCTAGAAAAAGTGGATACATTTTAATAAAAATAGGGTCGAAAAAACAAATTAATTAATTAAACTGTTTTGTAATTTTGCCGAGAAAGGTAATGTAAAAATAAATTCAACTCACGATTTTAAAAAACCGGGAGTGATCTCCCCTAAACTTTCTCGAATATTTTTATATAAAATAACAGGGGATGGGAACTCGGGCTATAGACATGATTTTTAATCCATTTTAAATACTTAAAGTTTTTAAAATAGAATAAAATCTCGTAGAAAAAAGAATTGCACACCAAGTGAACGCTAAATAAAAAAGTGCATAATAGTGCGCAATATTATTAGTACTTTAAAAATTTACATTAGTTTTTTGAGAAATCGGAAGTAGCGTAAATTACTACTTCCGTTCAACGGAAATGACTCAAAATTTAACAGAAGGTAGAGAATTAGATCTTTTACTTACATGTGAGATTTCGTTTATCTATCTGAAATAGTACTCAAGTTATAGGCTTTTGAAAATTTCAAAATAGAAAAAGTACCACTTCCGGTTATCGGAAATCGCTCAAAAGTTGATACGGATCTACGATTTTGATAAAATACTTATATATGAAATTTCATCAACCTAGCTGTAACGGTACTCAAGTTATCGTGTTTACACACAGACAGACAGACACACAGACAGACACACAGACATACGGACAAGATTGCAAAATTATGTTTTTCCGTATCAGTGAGATGTAAAACGTCGAGATTTGTAAAAATCTCGATTTTTTTTTTTTTGCACGATTACAATTCTTTCTCTATACTTCGTATATACGAGAAAGTAAAAAAATGTGAATGCAAAATATCCAAGAGGGAATTATTGTTGAAATAATATATTTGCAAAATGTGAATGCAAATTCTCCTGGCGTGTAAGAGGACATTATTGTTGGAATATTATAATTAGCATGGATTGATAAAAGGCTATCTTTTATTTATTTTTATTCACTGAACGTACTGTTTACTAACGATAATTTTTAATCAACTATTCCGCAACATTATACACGCGTCATCACGTTCATTAGGTGCGCAATGGTTTTAAGTCATGAAACTCTATTGTAATTTTTTTTTATTTAAAGAACTGAAAAAAATGCACGAATTGATAAAATGCAAAATGTTAGATAAATCACGGATATTTTAAATACTGCCTTTTATTTATTTTATACTCGGAACGTACTCTTTACTAATTATTATTCTATCTTTCGGTTTGCGGACAAGCTGGGGGGGTTTAATAGTTTTATAGTTATTCACTGAATCAGGCACGTCCGCCAGCGGTAATTTTTTCTTTTGTGTTTTTGTTGTGTTTGTGTTGTGTTGTGTTTTGTTTTGTTCTGTTACCAAGTTGGTACATTTAAAAAAGATTTACCGTGGCGGAGCACGGGTATGCAGCTTTTGCGTTTGTGTTTTCTTTTGTGTTTGTGTTGTGTTTGTGTTGTGTTTGTGTTGTGTTTGTGTTGTGTTTGTGTTGTGTTTGTGTTGTGTTTGTGTTGTGTTTGTGTTGTGTTTGTGTTTGTGTTGTGTTTGTGTTTGTGTTGTGTTTGTGTTGTGTTTGTGTTGTGTTTGTGTTGTGTTTGTGTTGTGTTTGTGTTGTGTTTGTGTTGTGTTTGTGTTGTGTTTGTGTTGTGTTTGTGTTGTGTTTGTGTTGTGTTTGTGTTGTGTTTGTGTTGTGTTTGTGTTGTGTTTGTGTTGTGTTTGTGTTGTGTTTGTGTTGTGTTTGTGTTGTGTTTGTGTTGTGTTTGTGTTGTGTTTGTGTTGTGTTTGTGTTGTGTTTGTGTTGTGTTTGTGTTGTGTTTGTGTTGTGTTTGTGTTGTGTTGTGTTTGTGTTGTGTTTGTGTTGTGTTTGTGTTGTGTTTGTGTTGTGTTTGTGTCTATACTTTAAACTTGATGTTAACAAAACATTAACTGAACTGTGGTAAAATTGATGATATTGCAATCTAACAAGTACCTTCTTTGCAGCAGTGTTTATTAGTCTTCTTTATCTATCTATATACTACTAAAAGTCAAGTTTGTTTACATGTTTGAATATTTATTTTTTTGTTTGTTTGTTTGTTTGGCTGATTGACTATCTCGCATGGTTGCACTCATCGTGGAAAGCTGTAAAATAGTATGTAGGTAGAGAAAAAAATTTGTTTTAAGACAGACTGTTAATCACAAATTTATTTAAAGACGTTAATTAATTTATTGATTTATTCATAGTTAAATTAACCACATTTGTGCGTAGCTAATGATTAGATCTAGATCTAGATTCTAGATGTAGCAAGAAAAACTAAACTTAAGACTTAAGAAAACGAGTCGTAGAATCTAGATCTAGATAATTCTATCTAGATCTAGATAATTTCAAACCTTCTTTATTTTATATAAATCTTTGTTTGGCTAATTTAAGAAAAAATTTAATTTGAAAGTTAGATCTAGATCTATGCGCGTAAATAAAGTTGCATAACGAGACTCAAAGTATAGTATAAAAATTCACTTGTGACGTCACGAGTAAATAGCTATGTTGGTAGAGTAGTCGGCTCTCATGCAAGTGGCACGGGTTCTAGACCAATGTCAATGATATTTTTGTTTTCAATTTTTTTTTTTAGATGTGAATGATAAAGTTGCCTATCTGAACTTGGTTGGATACAGGGCAGGTGAAGTAGAGTTCATCTGTTTCTTTGTCCTAAGCATATGAAAGGATAGTGTGGTCAGAGACATGCTCGGCTGGAATTGTTTTTTAAACGATAAAAACATGTTGTCTGAGACTTGGCGGGACACTGGGCAGGTGAAGTAGAGTTGAGTAGGTCACCTGTGACGTCAGTATATGAAGGGATAGTCCGAAATCGGTGTTTTCGGTGTATTTAAAAGACAAAAAAGAAATTTTTGAATGTGGGGTCTGTTTTTTGTGGCGATAAGTGACACTGCAGTAGCGTAGCGAGGAGGGGGTGGGGGGGGACACATATCCCCGGGCGCCGACCTTAGAAGGCGCCAAAATGGATTGGAAAAATAAATTGAAAGGTTGAGGGGGGTGCAAATCGAAAGTTTGGGTGGGGGGGGGGTTCAAATCAAAATCTTGAGGGGGGGTGCACATTAAAGTTTGGGGGGGGGGGGGTGGGTTGTAAATCGAAATCTTGCGGGGGGGGGGTGGGTTCAAATTGAAAAGTTTGTCCCCGGGCGCCGGGAAGGGTCGCTGTGCCTCTGAGTGACAGACGTGATGTTTTTTGATGGATGACCCCCGAAACCCACAGTTATCCAACGGATGACGGGTACTCTAGTTCTTTCTAAAAAATGGTTTTCCATGTTATTTTATTTTTGTAGAATAAGCAATTCTTATATTTATTTTTTATTTTTTTGCCAAGCAACATAAAACAGACTTTTGATTATAAGCAAAACAAATATATTTAAAAAAAAGAAATGCTTTTATTTAGCTTGCTTCCTCCTCCAGTCTGTCGCTAGTTTGTCTGTTGTCCTTGATCGTCATTTCAAAGTTAGCACGTGGGTCAAGATTTGAAAACAATGCAATATGACATTAAATTTTACTTTAAAAAGTGCTTAATTATTTTTTGTTTTAATTAAAATTTTCTGAAATTAGTAAGCTGTCCTATCCTACTATTCCGCACTATTATACGCGCAACATCATGTTCATTTTTTGCGGAATTGTTTTTAGACATGAAACTCTATGGTATTAGAAATTTTAAGTACAGAAAAAAATGGCATAAAAACGTTTTAATAGCAAGCTTTTATGTAATAATGCACTAAAAAGTAGAAAATAAATAATGTTATTTAAATACATAACTATACACTACTATTTGAATAGCTATAAGAAAAGTGTGGGTCACTTTGTTATTTGTTGGATACCTTTACTAATATTTAGGAAGTGACCAACGCTTTTCTTTACACTTTATACTTTATAGTCATTAAAATAGTAGTGTATTATTATGTATTTAAATAAAATCATTTATTTTCTTCTTTTATTGCATTATTAAATAAAAGCTTGTTATTAAAACGTTTTTACTGCTTTAAGTCAGCAACTTTTTTGGTCAACTGTCAGTCGGGAAAATGGTCTTTCAGTCTCCATCTGAGCAAGTAGCTTTTGTCTAGACAATCTCCATCTGAGCAAGAAGCTTTTGTCTAGACAATCTCCATCTGAGCAAGAAGCTTTTGTCTAGACAGTCTCCATCTGAGCAAGTAGCTTTTGTCTAGACAATCTCCATCTGAGCAAGTAGCTTTTGTCTAGACAATCTCCATCTGAGCAAGTAGCTTTTGTCTAGACAATCTCCATCTGAGCAAGTAGCTTTTGTCTAGACAATCTCCATCTGAGCAAGTAGCTTTTGTCTAGACAATCTCCATCTGAGCAAGTAACTTTTGTCTAGACAATCTCCATCTGAGCAAGTAACTTTTGTCTAGACTCTAGACAATCTCCATCTGAGCAAGTAGCTTTTGTCTAGACAATCTCCATCTGAGCAAGTAGCTTTTGTCTAGACAATCTCCATCTGAGCAAGTAACTTTTGTCTAGACAATCTCCATCTGAGCAAGTAGCTTTTGTCTAGACAATCTCCATCTGAGCAAGTAACTTTTGTCTAGACTCTAGACAATCTCCATCTGAGCAAGTAGCTTTTGTCTAGACAATCTCCATCTAGCAAGTAGCTTTTGTCTGGTACATGAGAAATGGCGGCAAGACAACGAACAGCGATACGTATATCGCTATTTGTTTCATATTCCACTTTCAGCCCAACTGCGTGTACCTTGCGTATCACGCTTTGGGCTATACTCTCCAAGATTCTCTATGGTTTTGACATAGAGTAGTTTAGATGACTTGTATTTATACATGATGATTTAACATATTATTACATCATGTCGAAATTTAAAATATAATTTAGCAACTTTTAAAATAAATCCTTACCATATATGGACAGCATTGGACAAACCACCTGAGATCAAAGACCATATGTGGACAAAACACCTGAGATCAAAGACCCTATGTGGACAAAACACCTATGATCAAAGCCGGACGCAGCGCTTGTGATCAAACACCAGTTGATAGACCACCTGTGATCAAAGACCCTCTGCTGAGAAAACACCTGTGGTCAAACCCCCTATGGTCAAACCCCCTATGATCAAACCCCCTATGGTCAAAGCACCGCTATGGTCAAAGCTCCGCGGTGGTTAAACCCCCTATGGTCAAACCCCTTTTGGTCAAAGCACCTGTGGTCAAAGGTCCTAGGACCGCTTTTGTCTAGACAATCTCCATCTGAGCAAGTAGCTTTTGTCTAGACAATCTCCATATGAGCAAGTAGCTTTTGTCTAGACAATCTCCATCTGAGCAAGAAGCTTTTGTCTAGACAATCTCCACCTGAGCAAGTAGCTTTTGTCTAGACAATCAAGGCCGTTGATGTTTGAGGCCGCCTCTAGAACTAACAAATCATTCCAAGCCACTTAGTTACGATTTGGCATGGTAGCCAAAAGAAAGTATTTTTAATACATTCTACTTCATTCCTCGTTGACCTATTTTTTTCTTCACCCTCTGTTTCAGACTGAGGCTCCGCTGATGATCCGACCATTCCTGAAGGATATGACAAAGTCAGAAATACACGCAGTCATGACTGGCGGGTTTGCTACAATAGCTGGCGCGGTTATGGCTGCTTACATTCTCTATAAGGTGGGATACGGGTCTGGTGACAAATGTATGGCTCTTTATATTCTTCATAACTGAAAAATCTGGAATTGTATGATTTAATAGATTAGAAGCTAACAAAAGTTATATTATTAGCAGCTGACCTAACGTTTAAGTTTAACATTGACTAACTTACTTTAGCATTAACTGACTTACGTTCATGTTTAACATTGGCTGACTTTACGTTCAAGTTTACATTGAATCTTTCAGGTCCCGGCCAACCATTTGTTGTCCGCCTCTGTCATGTCTGCCCCTGCCGCCCTGGCCATCTCAAAACTCTTCTACCCCGAGACTGAGAAGTCCAAGCACAGTGCAAAGGATGTTTACGAGATCCCTCGGGGGTTGGTTTTTAATGTTTACGACATCCCTCGGGGGTTGCCTCTCGGAACCTACTCAATCCATATTGTCTGCAATCATCTATTCATGCACCAAATTAGGCTAGTTTGCTTTTAGAATTAGGTCACATTTAAAAATGTAATATTAATATTTTTTTTTAATTTGTAAATGACACCATTTTGGGGGTGACACCATTTTGTGGGTGGTACCATTTTTTAAAAAAAAGTAAAAATGTCCTGTCAAAGGATGTAGTATTCAGTTTATATTAGGGGAGAAGAGTGATACCAAAAAAAAAGAAAAACTGTTGGAGAGAAGTGGGGTGACACCCCTAACCAGAGTTTCTTCCAGGCATCTCTACGGGGGGACTCCCTTCGGGACCGCCCCCCCCCCCCCCGCACCCCCGAGGAAAGTCTACCCCCTTCCCCATGGAATTTATATAGAAAACATATTCTTTTACCGATGTCCGCCAAAAGGAAAATGTTGACCGCCCCCCCCCCTGAAAATATCAAGTGCCCCCCCCCCCCCGGAGAAAAAAGTCTGGAAGAAATACTTCCCCCAGCTACCGCACGGGATAACACTCGGCCAACTTTCTCTACTTAATTTATCTTTAAAAAGGGAGGGGATAAACACAAAATACCTGTTTGATGGGTTTTCTGTACATAATCAATACATTTTTTCACAATAGAGAAAATTTAAATGCGTAAAATTATTTGAATGTTTTATTTGGCCATACATGCTAAATTGTGATATTTAATTTCGGCCATTAAATAGAGTCGGCAACTTTTTGTAAGTTTTTGTAAATACTTTAAAAGTACGTTTGCTTAATATGCTTCTACTGTTCCCATTAGTGATCAATAAATTATAGATACATCAAAAGCACGTGATCAAAATCTGATCAATGTCTATTGCACATTATTGATTTTTTATTTGGACCAACAGGACAGAACAAAATTTGATTGAAGCAGCTTCCAACGGAGCATCCATGTCCGTTAAGTTGATAGCAAACATCGCGGTCAACTTGATCGCCTTTGTGGCCTTGTTGCATTTTGTGAACGCGACTTTTGTGTGGTTCGGTGACCGAGTTGGTGTGGAAAATCTAACTTTTCAGGTGTGTTTTAGTTGGTGTGGACAATCTAACTTTTCATGTGTGTTTTAGTTGGTGTGGACAATCTAACTTTTCATGTGTGTTTTAGTTAGTGTGGACTATCTAACTTTCCAGGTGTGTTTTAGTCGGTGTGGACTATCTAACTTTCCAGGTGTGTTTTAGTTGGTGTGGACAATCTAACTTTTCATGTGTGTTTTAGTTGGTGTGGACAATCTAACTTTTCAGGTGTGGTGTTCAAGATGTGTTGTTGTTAGCACACTATCATGGTGTGTTGGTATTAGCACACTATCAAGAAGTGTTGTTGTTAGCACACTATCAAGAAGTGTTGTTGTTAGCACACTATCAAGATGTGTTGCTGTTAGCATACTATCAAGATGTGTTGTTGTTTGCACACTATCATTATGTGTTGTTGTTAGCACACCATCATGATGTGTTGTTAGCACACTATCATGATGTGTTGTTGTTAGCACACTATCAAGCTTTGTCGTTAGCACACTATCATGATGTGTTGTAAGCACACTATCATGATGTGTTTGTTATTAGCACACTATCATGATGTGTTGTTGTTAGCACACTTTCATGATGTGTTTTGTTAGCACACTATCAAGATGTGTTGTTGTTAGCACACTATCAAGATGTGTTGTTGTTAACACACCATCATGATGTGTTGTTAGCACACTATCAAGATGTGTTGTTGTTAGCACACTATCACGCTATGTCGTTAGCACACTATCATGATATGTTGTAAGCACACTATCATGATGTGTTTGTTGTTAGCACACTATCATGATGTGTTGTTGTTAGCGCACTTTCATGATGTGTTTTTGTTAGCACACTATCAAGATGTGTTGTTGTTAGCACACCATCATGATGTGTTGTTAGCACACTGTCATGATGTGTTGTTGTTAGCACACTATCAAGCTTTGTCGTTAGCACACTATCATGATGTGTTGTAAGCACACTATCATGATGTGTTTGTTGTTAGCACACTTTCATGATGTGTTTTTGTTAGCACACTATCAAGATGTGTTGTTGTTAGCACACTATCAAGATGTGTTGTTGTTAGCACACCATCATGCTGTGTTGTTAGCACACTTTCATAATGTGTTGTTGTTAGCACTCTATCAAGATGTGTTGTTGTTTGCACACTATCAAGATGTGTTGTTGTTTGCACACCATCATGATGTGTTGTTAGCACACTATCATGATGTGTTGTTGTTAGCATACTGTCATGATGTGTTGGTATTAGCACACTATCAAGAAGTGTTGTTGTTAGCACACTATCAAGAAGTGTTGTTGTTAGCACACTATCAAGATGTGTTGCTGTTAGCATACTATCAAGATGTGTTGTTGTTTGCACACTATCATTATGTGTTGTTGTTAGCACACCATCATGATGTGTTGTTAGCACACTATCATTATGTATTGTTGTTAGCATACTATCAAGCTTTGTCGTTAGCACACTATCATGATGTGTTGTAAGCACACTATCATGATGTGTTTGTTATTAGCACACTATCATGATGTGTTGTTGTTAGCACACTTTCATGATTTGTTTTTGTTAGCACACTATCAAGATGTGTTGTTGTTAGCACACTATCATGATGTGTTGTTAGCACACTATCATGATGTGTTGTTGTTAGCACACTATCAAGCTCTGTCGTTAGCACACTATCATGATGTGTTGTAAGCACACTATCATGATGTGTTTGTTGTTAGCACACTTTCATGATGTGTTTTTGTTAGCACACTATCAAGATGTGTTGTTGTTAGCACACTATCAAGATGTGTTGTAAGCACACTATCATGATGTGTTTGTTGTTAGCACACTTTCATGATGTGTTTTTGTTAGCACACTATCAACATGTGTTGTTGTTAGCACACTATCAAGATGTGTTGTTGTTAGCACACCATCATGATGTGTTGTTAGCACACTATCATAATGTGTTGTTGTTAGCACACTATCAAGATGTGTTGTTGTTTGCACACCATCATGATGTGTTGTTGTTTGCACTCCATCATGATGTGTTGTTAGCACACTATCATGATGTGTTGTTGTTAACACGCAATCAAGATGTGTTGTTGTTAGCATACTATCATGATGTGTTGTTGTTAGCACACCATCATGATGTGTTGTTGTTAGCACACTATCAAGATGTGTTGTTAGCACACTATCAAGATGTGTTGTTAGCACACTATCAAGATGTGTTGTTAGCACACTATCAAGATTTGTCGTTAGCACAGCATCATGATGTGTTGTTGTTAGCACACTATCAAGATGTGTTGTTGTTTGCACACCATCATGATGTGTTGTTAGCACACTATCATTATGTATTGTTGTAAGCACACTATCAAGATGTGTTGTTGTTTGCACACCATCATGATGTGTTGTTAGCACACTATCATGATGTGTTGTTGTTAACACACAATCAAGATGTGTTGTTGTTAGCATACTATCATGATGTGTTGTTGTTAGCACACCATCATGATGTGTTGTTGTTAGCACACTATCAAGATGTGTTGTTAGCACACTATCAAGATGTGTTGTTAGCACACTATCAAGATGTGTTGTTAGCACACTATCAAGATTTGTCGTTAGCACACCATCATGATGTGTTGTTGTTAGCACACTATCAAGATGTGTTGTTGTTTGCACACCATCATGATGTGTTGTTAGCACACTATCATTATGTATTGTTGTTAGCACAATATCAAGATGTGTTGTTGTTAACACACAATCAAGATGTGTTGTTGTTAGCATACTATCATGATGTGTTGTTGTTAGCACACCATCATGATGTGTTGTTGTTAACACACAATCAAGATGTGTTGTTGTTAGCATACTATCATGATGTGTTGTTGTTAGCACACCATCATGATGTGTTGTTGTTAGCACACTATCAAGATGTGTTGTTAGCACACTATCAAGATGTGTTGTTAGCACACTATCAAGATGTGTTGTTAGCACACTATCAAGATTTGTCGTTAGCACACCATCATGATGTGTTGTTGTTAGCACATTATCAAGATGTGTTGTTGTTTGCACACCATCATGATGTGTTGTTAGCACACTATCATAATGTGTTGTTGTAGACAACACAGGGGAACAACACAGTTTCCTAAAATATCATTTGTTTATTTGATAATTATTGAATTCTCAATGTTTGTCCTGAATCTGTGTGTTTTCACGCATATAAATATTTCCTTCAGTTTATTTGCTCCTATGTGTTCTGGCCCCTGTCTTTCATCATGGGGGTAGACCAAGATGACTGCAGAGCATTCGGTGAACTAATTGGAACAAAGATATTCCTGAATGAATTTGTGGTAATAAATTATGTTGTCTCCTTGTAGTAGAACTCCGACTTGGTATACTAAACTACTATGATATATTAAGAGAATTAAATTAATATGACAATGGAATATGAGCTATCAGTTGCATGGTAATTATGACATTGATAATATTACTAAACATTGTTAGCTGTAATAAGAGTAGTCATGTTACGAATTATTCAGTTGTCCCCCTGTCTTGAATAACAGAGTGACTTCCCTTGCAAATAAATAACTTGACTACCTCCTCTGATTGAAAACAATGTGCCGTGCCGGAGTAAATCGCCCTATATCACAACACAACAATGGATATATCATAAGTAATGTAAAGTAATGTGCTTTTTTATAGCACCAAAAGAAATAAAAATCAGAAGATTTATCTAAAACCATTTAAGCTTGAAAGATCAAAGCAGTTAATTTAATTATTTCAATTTAGACTCAGATGATAACTTTAACGTTAATGTGCATGAGTTGTACAGTTTATGACTGAGATATTTGTACACTTAGGTGTAGGTGAAAGGTATTAAAACTTTGTTGAACCAGTTAACATTCTATTCATCATTCACTTTTTGTTGTATCTGGCTAATCATAAACTTTCCACCATTATAGAAACACATTTCTCAGACCTGGAAATCTCGCTCCATGTCCTCTCATCCTGTCATGACTTGAACCATGTAACCATCCTGTCATGACTTGAACCATGTAACCATCCTGTCATGACTTAACCATGTAACCCTCCTGTCATGACTTGAACCATGTAACCATCCTGTCATGACTTGAACAATGTAACCATCCTGTCATGACTTGAACCATGTAACCATCCTGTCATGACTTGAACCATGTAACCATCCTGTCATGACTTGAACAATGTAACCATCCTGTCATGACTTGAACCATGTAACCATCCTGTCATGACTTGAACCATGTAACCATCCTGTCATGACTTGAACAATGTAACCATCCTGTCATGACTTGAACCATGTAACCATCCTGTCATGACTTGAACAATGTAACCATCCTGTCATGACTTGAACCATGTAACCATCCTGTCATGACTTGAACCATGTAACCATTATGTCATGACTTGAACCATGTAACCATCCTATTATGACTTGAACCATGTATTTCTCTCCCCTAGGCGTACGTGGACCTGTCTAAATATATCAACAATCAGATCACGTTTGATGAGTACTGGTCAAACTTCACATCCAACAGTACAGCCAATCTGACAGGTGTGTGGACCTACATAGGTGATGATATTTACCTGAATGACACACAGGCGACATTACCACACGGACTTATCTCCGTAAGTTTTTATAAAGGCTTTTATTACGTCCACTATGAATGTTTGTAGCTCTGCAAATCTTGGAATATTAATTTAAACACTTTCAATGGTCCGATTGAGCTGAAATTTGGAATTGTGTTCGATCTTGGATGACATTGCAAGAACAATATTTTTTTTTATCTAAGTAAAGGTTTATATTTGACAATTTAATTTTAAAATGACTATATTCAATTATAAAAGATAAAATACTAGCGATGTTTTAATCAAAGGGCTGTCAATGGTGAACTGTTGGCTGATTCCATGCATTTTATAGCAAATATTTATAGTTATAGCCTAAGTAGTGTGATCTTCATTTCGAAGTTGCTTTCTTAAAGAGATTAGCTCTGGTAGCTAATGAGATCTCTTACATATTTTAGCTTTTATTAAAGAAGCAAGTTTGTGTTTTATTTTATTATTTTTAGTGCGTTTATAAGATTGTTATTATAAAGATTTTGTTTTATTTTTTTACTGTTTAGTGAATTTTTTTTTATTCATTTATTTATTTATTTTTTTGCTGTTTTTTAGTTTTAGTTGTGTATGTGATTTGTGAACGTAATAACAGCCATTTTGCTTTTTAAAAAATTTTGTGAGAAATATATTGTGATAAATATGTGACAATTGAGTTCTTTAAAAAAGGGTATCCCACTTCGTATTTTAAAATCTATATTGAAGGTGGCAATTTATTGTGTATTCTGTAGAGAAGATCTGTTGTGATAGCGACTTATGCCCTGTGTGGATTTTCAAATCTATCATCAATGGGCATACAACTTGGGGCATTAGGTGCCATGGCACCAGAGAGAAAGGGAGATCTTTCAAAAATTGTGTTCCGTGCCATGTTAGCAGGAAATGTTGCCTGTTTTTTAACGGCTTGCATCGCAGGTAAATAATTATTTGTCTTGTAATTTTTAGGTGAGTCATACACTCCGTGATTCTTAATCTGGGTTCAATCGAACCCCAGGGTTCGGGGAATCTCAGGGGTTTGGTGAAATTGTATTAAGTGTGTGATAGAATGACTAACATACTATGGGTGACAGATGAACTGTGTGAAATAGTATAAAGTGTTTGACAGAATGACTGTCACTATGTGTGACAGATTAAATGTGTGAAGTTGTATAACATGTGTGACAGCGTTTTTTGTTCTTGTATTTCAGGATTGTTTCAAACCTCTTGAAGATCAAACTACATTTTTCTACTCAACACTTGTGCCTTATTTTTCTCAAGTTGAAACTTTCTGAATACACCATCCTATGATTTTATTGTAGCATTAGAAATACACCATCCTATGATTTTATTGTAGCATTAGAAATACACCATCGTATGATTGTATTGTAGCATTCCCAATACACCATCATGATTGTATTTTAGCATTAGAAATAAACCATCATGATTGTATTGTAGCATTCCAAATACACTATCATGATTGTATTGTAGCATTGAAAATACACCATCATATGATTTTATTGTAGCATTCCAAATACACCATCATGGTTGTATTTTAGCATTAGAAATAAACCATCATGATTGTATTGTAGCATTCCAAATACACTATCATATGATTGTATTGTAGCATTGAAAATACACCATCATTTGATTTTATTGTAGCATTCCAAATACACCATCATGTGTTAACATCACCATATACATCACTCAGTATGTGATTTTATTGTAACATCCCATATGCATTATTTTGATATAATATTATCATTGCATTATAAATGCACCGTGCTATCATCCCCATATTCATCATGTGATTTTATTGTAAGATTATAAATACACCATTCTAAAGGTTGTTTTATTGCATCATCCCAAAATCATCATTGCACAAGTGTAACTAACTCTCTGAATGCCAATTTGAATAACAGTAGACTAAGGAATTACCTGATGCAAGTTCTATCCATTGTCAGATGGCTGGTGGGCCAAGCTGGATATTTTCCCATCAAGAAAACCCTTTGTGTATCTGTTTTTAATTTCAATCAGTAGATAATTCTTGTTGTCTTGTGGGATATTCCTATGGAACAGTAACCATAACGGCAGTGGGTTTCTATGATAAATTCCTATGGAACAGTAACCATAACGGCAGTGGGATTTCTAAGGGATATTCAGCTCTTCCTTCTTTCCAAACTTGATCTTTAAATGTTCAAAAACTTCAGAGGCATTTTACCATCAACATAATGTTCTGAGAACTAACTAGTAGGTATAGCTGTACATACCTCAAGTTTTCTTCTGGTTTTTACAAAGTACACTGATTTATACGGTTTGAGTCAAACATAACTGACAATATACAGCCTGATCAACAATAATCACTGCCCATTAACAATAATCACTGCCCGTTCAAGTATAATCACTGCCCGTAAAGTTAGAAAACACAACTACTGCCAGCTGAACATGAAACAAGACAGTAAAAACTCATGACTACTTGAAGAATAAAACATTGCAAGCCTGACATTTCTTTTATTATCCAAGTAAACATTATATACAATGGCAATCTTTAGCTGCATATTATTCATGGTTTGGCTTAGAATTGTGTGTACCATCTTTCAAGTTGGCCATGTTGTTTTATTTGTATCAAAGCATATTAAAATCTAACAAACTTGGTCTGTGTTATTTCTATCAGAGCCTGGGTATAAGTCACATCAGACACATGGAGGTTCACCAACAACCAGGTATACATTACAGTTCACACACACTACACTAATACTTTTGTAGTGGAGAACATCAGCTGACAAAATTTACAGATTAAACTAGGTTCACAAAGATGTTTTAAAACTTATTTTAGTCCTGAAATAATATCAATAATGTAGTAGGAAATGTAACCAAAGAAAATAACCTAATACCAGATATAAAGTATTGTCAAAAGTTGTATGACAAAATTGTATTTTTTAAGCAAACAAAAACAAAAGATAAGAAAATTAGTACATTTTTTATTTTTTTAACAAGAGAATAGCAAAAACAAATGTTTTCTGCTACTAGCATGTTAAATCTAGTCTAGAATTTGAGATAAATATTTAGTTTTTGACTGCTTCTGGTTTAGAATAAGGGTTCTTCTCTGCCTCATCGAATGCTTGTATACACTTGGCCATTGTCTGTGATGCTCTGGAGATGGGGTCTGTCATATAAAAGTCTCGGAGTCTCAGCATTGTTGGGGCTATAGGGGCTGAACAGGTGCCAGAGCTTGGGGGTTTTTTTGTTGTTAGCTGGGGGAAAACAAAACACCACACATCAATCACGTGCATGCACCAGGTTAGTGCAACTAGATTTATGTGCATGCCATCTTGACATTCAATCCACTTCATTTCACTTACAGTGAAACCACTAATGTGAAATTTGAAAAACAATGTATTCACAACTTTATGATTTTCATTACATTAGCTGATTGTGAAACACAGCATGTATTGTCTTTAAAACAATGTTGGAAGAAAATATCAAATTTTATTGAAAATTTATATTAGTTAAGCTTAATAAAATTTAACTCTTCTCTAACAGCTCACTACATGATAGTTAAGGAGGTATTGTCATGTTATCTATTGTCATTACACCCCTTTTCCCCAAAACAACATCAAGAGGCAAGCCCTCAGGTACAGGTGAAGAGAGAAAGGCCAAGAATGTCCAGGAAGATCATCTCTATAGAGAGGGAGATGCTGGATTGGCATGGCTGGAGAAGATATCAATTGAGTTTATTGAACAACTCACTTTTTGTAGCTTAAAAGATTCCTCCTCAAACCCAGACTCACAAACATAGCCAGGGTAGTTGAAAGTTGGTGAAACTTCTGCTAATCTTGATCTGACATCTGATAGCTTTTCATAGGGTAATGTCACCCCTAGTATCTAAAACCAAATCAGAATGGCAAATAGCAATCAACGTTAAACAGTAAACAATATTTTAAAATATAAAAGATAGAGGTTTTCATGACAGTAAAAGTGAATACCTCAGAAAGAGCTCGCAGTATTTTCCAGTCATGCCTTGCCATCCCAGGTGGACTAACAGCTTGACGGCCAAGCTGGACCCTGCCCTCAGTGTTGACATAGGTAGCATCTTTTTCAGTGTAGGCAGCAGAGGGAAGGATAAAGTCTGCCAGCTGTGCCCCATAGTCCCCATGATGGCCTGAAAGATATTGGTACAGTTGACTAGAGGCAGCAGAGGGAAGGATAAAGTCTGCCAGCTGTGCCCCATAGTCCCCATGATGACCTGAAAGATATTGGTACAGTTGACTAGAGGCAGCAGAGGGAAGGATAAAGTCTGCCAGCTGTGCCCCATAGTCCCCATGATGGCCTGAAAGATATTGGTACAGTTGACTAGAGGCAGCAGAGGGAAGGATAAAGTCTGCCAGCTGTGCCCCATAGTCCCCATGATGGCCTGAAAGATATTGGTACAGTTGACTAGAGGCAGCAGAGGGAAGGATAAAGTCTGCCAGCTGTGCCCCATAGTCCCCATGATGGCCTGAAAGATATTGGTACAGTTGACTAGAGGCAGCAGAGGGAAGGATAAAGTCTGCCAGCTGTGCCCCATAGTCCCCATGATGGCCTGAAAGATATTGGTACAGTTGACTAGAGGCAGCAGAGGGAAGGATAAAGTCTGCCAGCTGTGCCCCATAGTCCCCATGATGACCTGAAAGATATTGGTACAGTTGACTAGAGGCAGCAGAGGGAAGGATAAAGTCTGCCAGCTGTGCCCCATAGTCCCCATGATGGCCTGAAAGATATTGGTACAGTTGACTAGAGGCAGCAGAGGGAAGGATAAAGTCTGCCAGCTGTGCCCCATAGTCCCCATGATGGCCTGAAAGATATTGTTACAGTTGACTAGAGGCAGCAGAGGGAAGGATAAAGTCTGCCAGCTGTGCCCCATAGTCCCCATGATGGCCTGAAAGATATTGGTACAGTTGACTAGAGGCAGCAGAGGGAAGGATAAAGTCTGCCAGCTGTGCCCCATAGTCCCCATGATGGCCTGAAAGATATTGGTACAGTTGACTAGAGGCAGCAGAGGGAAGGATAAAGTCTGCCAGCTGTGCCCCATAGTCCCCATGATGGCCTGAAAGATATTGGTACAGTTGACTAGAGGCAGCAGAGGGAAGGATAAAGTCTGCCAGCTGTGCCCCATAGTCCCCATGATGGCCTGAAAGATATTGGTACAGTTGACTAGAGGCAGCAGAGGGAAGGATAAAGTCTGCCAGCTGTGCCCCATAGTCCCCATGATGGCCTGAAAGATATTGGTACAGTTGACTAAAGGCAGCAGAGGGAAGGATAAAGTCTGCCAGCTGTGCCCCATAGTCCCCATGATGGCCTGAAAGATATTGTTACAGTTGACTAAAGGCCAGTGCACTGTGTCAGCGCTATATAGAGCTTTATTGGACTGTTACTCACCAATGTAAACTACAGTACAGTCAGGACAAAGATCAGCTCTCTTCACTTTGCCTTCATCAGCTCCAAGCATAAACAACATAGAGGGTCTGTTGTCTTCAAAACTGTTTAGTCCAGGTTGAAAGCCAAGATCTAGGGCACCAACTTGAGAGGCATTCTTCAAAAATGATTTAGATTTTCTTGTTAAAATAAAAATCCTCTTCATAAATTCAAAGTTATATAGTTTATCAACTGCATTTAAATGTACCTATTTATTTTAAGACTTAGAAAACAAAAATCTATTTTAAATTAAATGTGTTTCATGAGAACCGACAGGCCAAGATTACTGGAGGAAACAAAAATAGTTCCTATGTAAGAGTAATAATATGAAGTCAAGCACAAAATAAACACTTGTATATATCACTAATATCAGCCTGTCGGCTAAACTTGCCTTAAGACTAACATTACCTAATGACATGTACCCTCACGGTGTAAATATGAAATGGGTGCAATGAAAAAAAGTTTTACAGATCAGAGGTCCTATACTTTACTGGTGTCATGAATTACTTTTTAAGCCATTGCTTCTCTTATCTAAATTAAATTGCTGCATACCTATAGAAGTTAATACAACCTGGGAGTGTCAGAAACTATTTTTAGATTTTGGTCCAAATTCTATAGTGGTTAATGAAGTTACCTTGTGTAAAACGTTAAAAATCTTCCAGTCCTTATGTTTACATGTGCGTCTTGCTTTCTCGGCTATCTGTTTAACAATGTCCAAGATGGCTGCATTATCTCTGGTCTGAAGACAATCTGTTCCTAGGATGATCATGGGTTTATTGGCTTTTGACAATGCCTGAAACACAAAAATGATATCACAAGTCAATTTATTTCACTAACAGATTTTATTTACATAACAAATATGAGAACCAACTTCAAAAAAATAACCACTACTTTGTTTAAAAATAAAATTAAAACAAATTTTTCAAAATAATTACCTCACAATATGGGTGAGTTCCTGAAGCAATATCTTTCAGTACTTTGTAGCTGTCACCTAGATACTAGTATAAAATTGTTTGTGTAAAAGAGTAGAAATTAAAACATTTTTAAAATGCTTCTGTTGTAAAATATCTTTTTCTAGCACAAAGAAGCAACAGAAGTTGTGATCCTATTTTAGATGTGTACATTTAATTCAAGCTTATTGGTAAATATGAAATCGTGAATTTAAGTACCTGGTAGTCATAAGAGAGGTCAACTGGAGCACCAAGAAGTGCAATACAAACATCATTGTGTACCCAACTAGGATCAATCAAAAATAAGGATTTTAAAACACACAATACCATTATAACATTTACTGTATGATTACATTTAAATAAGTCTTAAACAAAAATTTGCTAAAATATTGGATTATCAGAAAATAATTCAATTAAAGCTAACATTTTACCAAATTCAAAACCCATAAAATTAAATTTTGAAATAAAAATTTGTCTTCAGGCATTTGACATCAAAATTATCGTACTTACGTCTTTCTAATCCGAGCATTCACCAGAGGAGCTTCAAGTCGAGGATTTGTCCCCACCAATAGAATGAGATCAGACTGTTCGATTCCGGCAATTTTAGAATTCATGATGTAGTTGGATCGAAAATCAATTCTACAAGAAAAAATGTTAAAATATTCAGTGGGTACAATTTGACAGTCAAGTTCAACCTTTAAAAAATCTTATCAAACCTCTCACCCTGAGTCATCTAGAGGAAAAGTTGTCTCCGTGCACACAGTTTCAACACCCAGTTTATTAAGCATGTCTTTAAGACAAATCATTGCCTCAGCATCTACTGTGCTACCTACAACACCAGCTATTTCAGATGGGTTTGTTGCCTTGACCTGAAAATGAAAGAGAATATAACAAACGCAAGTGCTAAATATCTATTGTTAAGTCAAATGCATGTAGAAAATTATTTTTTCAATGTCATGGATTTAAATTACCTTTTCAGCTATTTTGACAAATGCAGTTTCCCAGTCAGTTGGGACCAACTGGTCATTCACTTTCATAAAAGGAGTTGTCAGTCTTTGTCTTTTCAAACCATCATAAGCAAATCTTGTCTTGTCTGAAATCCATTCTTCATTAATATCCTGTCAAATTGGAAGAAATGCATTAAAATGTGTTTGTACAGAGTTTGATACAAGTTTTAAATCATTCAATTTGAGCAAATTTACACTTAGTGCTAGGAATTTATCCAAATATTAACATTAATAAAGATGTGATTTATGTAAGGAGTGGAACGAAGAGAGAGCTTTACTTGAATGGCTCTATCCCAGATTTCTCCACTTAATATAGGACTTTAAGGACATTAATATCCAATAGAAAAAGGTATTAGTGTCATAGTCCAAATTTAAATGGTACAAACAATCAAATTTCCAAACCTCATTAACTCTTGGGAGTATTCTCATGACCTCATTAGTTCTCATACTAACCACAATGTTGCTACCAACTGCGTCCATTACATCAATACTTTCAATTCTCCTGCGGGCAGCAGATACAAAATGGTTTCAAAAATTTGATGATTAATTCCATAACAAGAATTATTAAAAACTTTTTTAAATGTACTAATTATTGAAAAATACTTTAGAATCTTGTTAAATGCAGACTAGAAAAACCCAATCATTAAAGAAGCTTGCATAGACATTGAAAAGTGGTAACACCATTAAATATTAGTAATGTTGAAGATAGAAAATGTTAGCTTATAGATTGTACCTGATTTCCCAAGGTCTAGCTGTAAAGGAATATGGTTTTGATGTTAGGGCACCAACAGGACAAAGGTCAATCACGTTCCCAGAAAGTTCACTTTTAAACATTTTTTCCACATATGTGCCAACTTGCATCTCTGTTCCTCTACCACTGGTCCCTAAATCATCTACACCAGCTATTTCACTGGCAAATCTAAGCAAGTATTTAGAAAAAAAATTCTGAATCATTTCCTTAAACATTTAACTAAATGTGCCTGGGTATAGCCAAAGCTATTTTTCTACATATGTACAATCCAGGATATAAAATATGTTCTTAAAAACGTACTGCTAGTCAAAACCATTCTTAAAGGCCAGGATGATTTTGTGAAGAATAATATATAATTAATAAGCTGGAAAAGAAAACAATTACTGACCTAATACATCTTGTGCAATGGATACACCTAGTCATAATAGTTTTAATTAAAGGTCCAATATTTTTGTCTTCCACTGCTCTTTTTCCTGTGAAGGCATTGTCAGTAAACCTGCTTCTGTCACTACCAAATGCCATAGATTGATCCTAAAAGAAGTTGGGAAAATTTTATTTAATACCTTTTCATATTACCATAAAAAGTCATTCATCTAAGATCTAATGTATGATTTTTATTATTTCCTCTGAATACACAAAACCTTTAACTCTGAGGATACAAAACAAATACAAGTACAAAATGTTTGTGAATAAGGTAAAAAAAAAAGAAAGATAGGGTCTGATCTTTATACTGCAGGTAGCCTATCAGAGGGAAAATGTATTGCATGAACAAAAGTTTTTTTTTAAATTAAAGTTGTGAATAAGTATCAGCATAACTACACTTAACATGTTGTAGCTAGTTTTTATAAATGTGTTAAAAAAACTCTTTTTAAAAAAATATTTTTAGCTTTATGTGCCCTTTATCTCCCGTTTTTTTACATACATCTAACAACCTGCTTTTTAAAAGAATTAGGGCATACTATTACTGCTGCTTTAATTTGTATCAAATAACTTTGTGTTTAGCTAGTTTATTTTACATAATGTAAAAATATGTTTGAAAATGTAAGGAGTGGAACGAAGAGAGAGCTTTACTTGAAGGGCTCTATCCCAGATTTCTCCACTTAATATAGGACCATACGAACAATAATATCCAATAGAAAAAGGTATTAGTGTTACTGTCCAAAGTGACATGGTAGATTTTAGAAAAACAATGTGTATATTGAAGAGTTACCTGTAAATCACATTCTCCTCCTTGATCACAGATAGGACAGTCTAAAGGGTGATTTACTAACAAAAATTCCATTACTCCCTCCCTGGAAAAAAAAATGTTGACTTATAGTAGCACATATCCAAGCTCAATGAACTTACACTAATTACTTTATCAGAGACTTTGTAAAGTGAAAGCATAAAACTGCATACCTAGCTTTCTTAGTCAATGGAGAATCAGTTTTCACTTTCATTCCTTTCATTACTGGCATGGCACATGAAGCAACAGGCTATAAACATAACATGGAATTGTATTTTACAGAAGATAATTTTTTCACAAATGGCAGATTTAATGATAATATTTTTACAAAACAGTAATCTGCCTCATACTGTGTACTGTCACTATGAAAGTTATCAGAAAATGGCATGACTTGACTGCTGCTTTACAAAAATTATAAACATCTGTTGATAAATTACGTAATGCATTGCAGTAAGAGGTAACAAAAATATCTTGGGGGTTCATTTTATCAACAGTTATCTTAAAACACCTCCAAAAAGAAGTCCACAAAAAGAAGTCTAACTACAAGTCTTAACTTGGTCTAATAAATGAATAATTAGAATAACACCTTGGCTGATCTCTCCACTTCCACCAGACACATTCTGCAATTACCAGCAATGGACAGACGATCATGGTAGCAAAACCTTGGGATCTCTACACCAGCAACAGCACAAGCCTATGATGTGTGAGAATTATTGGTTTTTAATAGAATGTATAGAATTTAAACTTGTTCAAAGATAATACCAATAACATTAAGGATGAGTATCAAAGGCATTATTTACTTGCAATACAGTAGTACCAGGCTCAACAAACACTTGTTTATCATTGATAAATACTTCGACAAGTTCAGGAGAAGGTACTGGCTGGGATGACTTGCAAGCTGCATGAAAGGAAAATATAGGTAAATATCTGAATGTTATTGATCTATTCGATTGTTAAAATTATATGAAATCTGATACAAAAAGCTTCATAGTTACCTATCTGGGTCAACCCAATAACATTCTGGAGTTTTCCGAATTGACGCAAGGGCCATAATCGTAACATGGCTCTTTTTCACCCCAGGATCTTGAGAAAAAATTATCAGTGTAATTCACAATATTATGTAGAATGTATGTGCTTGTAATGCAGATAAAAGAAGTTACAATTAATTTATGCATAGTTCTCAACAAGAACATTACGGTATCTTTTCTCAAAGGGAACTGCCTGTGTATAGCGCATCTATGTAGACTATAGTGCCAACATATGTGCTGCATAAATTAGTGGCTTGCCTTGGATTAATTAATGCCTACCTGTGAAAATATCCCCTAGTTTTTGTGCTATACTATTACCCCAAATAACTGTAGATTAAAACTTCCCACAATTTCATAAAAGTGTAATCATCATCAAATAGAATCTACAGGCAATTCCCTTTACAATACTTTACAATGATATAAATTATATAAAACATCAATAGCCTAAGTGGTTCTTAAACAATAATACCTTAAATACCTATCACATGCAAATTTAATAATGGTGAAAATATTATTAGGCCTAAATACCTAATTAAAGTGAATCTACATAAAATTGGCTTGGTCCTAACTATCACTAAGAAATTCTATAATTAAAGATCACTAGCAGTAGGCCCTATTAATAAAAGTCTAAAATATATAGGCCTATTAAATAAGTTAGAACCTAATAAAAAAACAATTAACGTAATAAAAATAATAGTTCAGCCAATTTTTATACTATATTAAAACGTATTTCTTAAGAAAAGAAGATAAATTTTTGGCCGATTCTAGCAGGAAAAAGATGTGCATGTGCATAGTTCTACAAGTACCTGATTTTTCTTGTCATCTACATGTTTGCTGTTTAGGCCTATGTGTTGTCTTGATGGGACAGGGATTAACATGATAAATTCTTAAAACTTAAATACTAGATTTAAATAGGCTATTCAAATAGATTTTTTAAAATTATTTTATAATTAACTTATTATAGACTAGAACTCTTTGCTAGCTATACTATATATATACCCTCACCCTGATGACCCGCCCAGAGTGCAACTGCTCGACCACACGTTTGATTGGTTGGCAGCTGACACTATGAAATCCTCTAGGGACGGCTCGAAATGTATATTCATATTTAATTTGAGCTCAATGCACAGATATTTTTAGGTCATTGCGTTTTGCATCTAGGGGGGGGGGGATCTTTTTCTGAGTAATCACTTAGACTTAGAATTTTTTTTCTTACCATACTATTACTTATACTTAATAGATCTAGATCTAATAATCTAATACTTATTACTGTGGTGGCTGACCCACACTATGTGGACAAAGTTATTGTAGTTTGTAGGCTGTATGCCATGTAGCCGTAGGCCTAGTAGTATGTAGACTGTACACTAGTAGTAGACTATTGCTACACTATTCACTATGCTCTTGTTGTGTAATTGTAGATTGTTATTTGTAGAGAGTGGTGAATTAACTTAAACTATGAATTATGAATGATAAAGAATAAAGATTAAAGAAAGGCTGAAGGTAGCCGTGCAGTAGGTTATCCACCAGGAATACAGGACAGACAGGGGCTTTGTGTTATATTATTCAACTTGACATTATTTACTATATGGTTAGGTCTACTAGTATCCTATGATTAGTGAATAACTTCTAACTTGAAGGTACTAAGGCAGCTAGAGAGTTTTAACTGGACCAACGGTACTAGACAACGTAAGCTAAAATCCTACCGTTTATGTAGTTCTGTTACTCCAGGTTCACCTTATAATTTGCGGTATCGATTATATTTCCTGTGACCTTTACTTTTACTCAAATATCCAAAAGTATGTGAAATAAAATTTTCTACAGAATACAACTTATTCGAAGATTCTTATTTAAAAGGTTTAAAGCTCATGTAAATATAATTAAATTAATCACTATTTTCAATATAATATTTGAGTTTATAAAATAATTAAACTACCTATTTATATTTAAATTAAAAAACATTATTCCCTATGAAGTTAAAACACTAGTGCCTAATGCGTGTTTTGCAATTGGTGGTCTTTTCATTTCCGATCGTGCGTCGGTAGACACGCTACACATTGCTTCTCTAGCAATAATTTGAATAAACAACTTTAAAATGGGTTTTGGAGATCTTAAATCACAGTCTGGTGTTCAAGCACTTAATGAATTTCTTGCGGAACGCAGTTACATTGAAGGGTATTTTATTGATCAGTCTACGCTTCCTTTATTTTACTAGAAGTAGAAAGTCGGTAAAACACCATTTTAGCGTAGATCTAGACGAGATCTAGATCTAAATCTATTTTATTCCCCGCTTCACGTTCACCTCCAGTTGAGCGTATTTTATTAAACACAACCGAAACACACCAAAACGTTAGGAAAACACTAGGATTTAGCTAGAATCTAGATCTATTTATGTTTTATGTAAATGTGAGTTTTAATAATAATTTAATTAATTATAATTTAAAAGGTAGCCTAAATAAAAAAAACAACATAAAAAAGTAAATCATTAGGACAGGATCGGCAGCAGGAGAAAAATCCCTACACGGTCAAGGGTTCACCGTGAGTTCACATTGACTTTAAATATCAGCTTGTGCAATAGCTTAGGGAGGCTCACTAACTTAAAAGCGTCCTTGGTTGCTAACCAGAACATGGCGTAAGGATCGGACCATGACTTCCGGCGAGTTTTTCGACTTAGTTCCAGAGACCTTCTTAGAATTACTTTTAAAAATGTTTATCACGAGTAAAATGGCGGGTTTTCACGTTATAAAAACATGCTATAGGTGGCAAGGCTAAATATGCCAGAAAAGCATTTTCAGAAATTGCTTTGGGGAATGTAGGCTAAATTTAAAGTCGGTGTCATTCAAAATAATTTAACTTTTTAAATATAGATTTCCCTCTCACAAAATTGATTTCCATAGTAAAGCATTATTAGTTTTATCATTCTATGAAAAAATAAATCAAATATCTTCAACCGTTTTTTTATAAGATCGACCGAGAAATGACAACCACATTTTTTTTATTTTTTTTGACCACGTGACCGCTATTTGAATGGATACGTTTACCTGGCATGGTTTTTTATTTTGCTCTTTTGTACAATAAAAAATGTCATAAAATTAAAGAAATAAAAGAATTCAAAAATCACTTCTGTCTTGTCTTTTTTTTAATTCTTTTCTGATGACATTCTCTTAAATTTTTTTCCTCTAAAAATATTACCCGACGATAGACGGGCCAATTCTACTTTTAGGAACTCTCTTGTGAAAAAAAATTAGATCTATTTCACGGTCACTTAAAAAGTTAAACCTTTCAACTTTTAACCAGGTTGTCATGGATGATCCGTCATATCATAGCTGTGAGTGACAAATAAATTTAAAATTCAATAATTTAGTCTAAACTCGCTACAACCCCCAAATTTAGTGCCTAGAGGATAAAGTATGGACGTTTTTTATTCAGTTGTCATGTTTAAATTGAGAATTAAGTAGATTTCACAAATAGTAAGAAAAACTACAATAGCTATTTGAAATTGTGTTGGCCTCAGTTTTTGGGGTCATCATGAGTTCATAAAAGTTTATTTATAGCATTCAATAGGTCGTTCGGTTCAACGCTTCCGGGTTTGTCATTTTCGTGGCATCTCACGGCTCATGTACTTACTAAAAATGGCGACCAGTTTCGCTGTCACTAAACGGTAGAGGGATAAAACTAATAATTACGGGTCAAGTTTTTTTTCCTTCTGTCAAGCTCAGTGGAGGGTGCCACAGACTGCACCTGACTTTGGATTTTTTTAAGTAATTTAGTTTTAGTATTTTAGACTAGAAGATCTAGATTGAGTCAGTTATCTAGAACAGTTATCTAAAACACTATCAGCAGGTCATTAAGGACCTCCTCTTAGTTACCTACCCTAAGTTTAAAATCGTTTCAAACTAAATTATCTGCCCCTCTAATAGCCGTCACTATACCCGGCTCTACGATTGTAAACATTTAGCGTGAACCAGAGCTCACCAGACCATGTGGGGGTGGTAGGCAGAGCCGGCGTTAGGGGTACGCGGGGCCTATGGCCAACCATCCGCGCGGGGCCTTATATTTTTTTCATTGGTGTATAATTAAATAAAACATGTACAGTGAGGCGTTTTTTTTTCTTCTCAAAGCGAATTAATATTTATAACGATATATATGGTATTTTTACATTAAGACACTGATTAACAAATAATTTGTTTACTTAAAAGTGCTTTTATAAGTTTGAGACACGCATTAAAGAGACGATGAACGTCAGCTTCAAACCTGATTTTTTTACATTAATGTTTATTTATGAAAATCTTACCAGTACGTTCACAAACGAAGATCTACTTTTCTTGCCTTTCGTGAGGAAAATTCCATAATTATATCATCATAGTCCAAACTGGAGGCTATGTCTTTTTCTATTGACAGAATCGACAGGCCGCAGAGCCTGTCTTGGGACATCGTTGATCTCAAATAGTTCTTGATCAACTTCAGTTTGGAGAAACTTCTTTCGGCGCTTGCCACTGTGACTCGAACTGTTTGCAAGATTCTGTAGGCGATCGCCGTATTGGGAAAGGAATCCCGAATACTCCAAATGTACTGAAGGCACTGTTTGGCTGACTTAATACCTTCGGGCACTTTGAAGCAACGTTAAATCGGTCCACAGTGGCAGGTGATAGTATCGATATTTTCTCAATTTATCGAGTGTTAACAGGGGCATTCAAAGTGTGTGGATGCCGGGGAAAATAGCAAAACATTGATAGATTTCGGAATAAGCTCGAATCGTGAAAAAAACTGTTTACAGCTATAGATATCCAAATGAAATGACTCTCAAATGTAATCACGGACGCTCAGTAAGGTGGAACACTGGGGGAGGGGGTGACAGTTGGTGGGGTGAGGTGAAGCCCGTGAAGGATAACTGTACATTTAAATCTATGGGACGCCAAACCCTAAAAAAAAATCAGTTCGGGTACTACGTTACTGGATCTGGCCGCAGCCATTCAAGAGAAGGTGCGTGTGTATAGAGCGTCCACGTATTACATTACAGGTTAAGACCGCGTTCTCACAAGAGAAGGTCCGTGTCTATAATTAGAAAGTGAACCATGTTATTTATGAGTTTCGCGATGGCATGCTCGGACTGCCGGTAATTTAGACGTTTTAGAAATCAGGAGAACTTTACTATAAAACAGTCTCGGCCCGATGTATCAAACAGTATAGACTTTATAATTTGTTTAGTGTGCCCACACTATTTTAAAACAAGAATCACTATGGCCTTAACTATTATACTGAATATCCCTACACAGAGGCGTAGCGAGGGGGGTGCGGATCGCACCGGGTGACACCATTAAGGGGGGTGACACCAAGGCAAAAAATAGCAAAATATATAGAGAAAAACTTGAGGGGGGTGCACATCGAAAGTTTGTTTGAGGTGGGGGGGTGCAAATCGAAAACTTGAGGGGGGGGTGCAAATCGAAAGTTTGAGGGGGAGGGGTGCAAATTGAAAATTTGAAAGTTTTTTCCCGGGAAGGGTCGCTACGCCTCTGGGGGAGGGGGGTGTCACCATTAAGTGCCGCACCGGGTGACACCCGACCTCGCTACGCCACTGTCCCTACAATTAATTAAAATAAACATGTGCTTAATCACTTTACGAATACCGTTAAAGTTTACCAAAATGAAAATGGACATAATTACTGTATAAATGCCCTTCAAAAATATAAAAATAAATACAAGTATAATGTATTTAAAGATGACCTGACAATATATAAAATAAATATGAACATAATTACTGTATGGATGCCTATCAAGCGTATCGTGGTGAATATGCATAATTATAAAAAAGATGCTCATACAGTGTATAAATTATGATTTTAGGGATAAATACTCTGGAATTCCGGGGCATGTCCCCATCCGCTCACCCCCCCCCCCTCCTCCTCTGCAAGACATCATCAGGTCACTGACTGTTTACTACAGGCACCCCCGCCTGCTCACTAAAAAAACGTCTTCAACGGTCCGCAAACAATAGGGTATCTTTTCACATTTTTCCCGATTTTACCTCCCATGTCAGGTCGGGGGCTAATTCGCGACCGCCATCTCCAGTCACCTCAGGACAATAGCAAGTCGACCGTGCCAGCGATGTGTGACACTAATGTCTTTCTTTAGAATAACGGTCTGTCCCAGCCCATGTAAAGGAAAACTCACTAACATCAGCCTTGGCCTCAGTTTTAACATCCAACAACTTCGGCCATTTAGTTGGGGTTTTTTTTTTAATTTAATTCAGCAAAGGTTATTTAAGTTTACAAACTAATTCAGGCAACAATGGCCTTGCTGAAGCGCGGGGCCCCTTCAAGCGCGGGGCCTGGGGCGGCCGCCCCGTTTGCCACCCCCTAACGCCGGCTCTGGTGGTAGGTATATGCCTAGAGAGGAAGAGAGGGGGCTGCTAAGCACGCTTACAGCTTGGTGTTTTCTATGGTCTCCATGAAGAGAATTATATATATAGATTCTAGAACTAGTGTACTGTTAGTGGGTAATGAGTAATGTATCGGATTGTATCGCTTTAGGACACCTTAGCTTTAGGCGCGTAACATCGGCTGAAGCTAGTAATGTGGAAAAACGTTGCCTCATTGTTAAGGCTTTAAGATTATATAGAAGTAGGTAATCTCACAATTTAGCATCAGAAATTATCTGGTAGTGTTTGTTGAGTTTCTTACATTCGTTACTGTAAGATGTTAAAAGAGAGATGGTAGGCTATATGAAAAAATTATGAACCAGATCTACTGTGTGTACCTTGTTAACTGAAATTAACTTTTTCTTTTGAGGAAATTGTCCATAGCAACCATCCTACTTTTGATCAGCACATTTAGGCTTTGTTTCTTAATTTTATTTTTATAGCAGGTCCTATTAGCCATAGGCCCTATTTAATTTAATAGTGTTTCATCTTTTTCAGCTTTGTTCCTTCACAAGCAGACATTGCTGTTTATGATGCATTAAGCAAGGCCCCAGAAGCAAGTCTACCACATGCCCTTCGTTGGTACAATCATATTACATCATATCAGAGCCAGAAAGACAGGTAATTTTTTTAATTCATCCAGGGCTAGAGACTAGCAGCACTGTAGGTCTATGTTTGTTCTGTGCACACAAAATATTAGTAATAGCTAGGTAAAGTCTAGTTTTCTATACCTATTAAAATTGTTTTTTGTATGTGTATGTTTAAAACGGCTATTTCTGCTAAACTTTTCCGTCTTATAGCATACACAGATTTCATGCTCTCATCTTTTCTCTATTGTGCCCAAGACACATGGGGTCACAACGGAAAGCTTTTTACATTTTTGACAGTCTGTGGCAATTTAAGTCAGCTATTTGTCTTTGAGAATATTTTTTGCATGGTTGTAAAGGCTTGCTTGGCTTTGAAGATTATGTTATAATTTCAGTGGTGCTGCCTAAATTCTAGATGTGTGGGTGAAATGATTTGCTTCCTCTACTAGTGTTATTTTGATAGACCAGGGGTCTCCAAACTTTTCAGCCCAAGGGCCGCATTGACTATCAAAGTTCAGTTCGGGGGCCAGTTTCTTCCAGGCATGTCTTTGATTTTTCTGGGCAAAGTTCCTCAGCTATCACCAACAAACTTTTTTCCATGGACAAAAAGATCTCAGCGGGCCGGATGAGAGGATCTCGTGGGCCGCATCCGGCCCGCGGGCCGTAGTTTGGAGACCCCTGTGATAGACACTTGGCTATTTGTGTTTTAATTTTTTTTTTTTTTATGTTAGCAAAAAATCATAAGCTAATTATATTAGCTTTTCTTGTTTTTTCTTTTTGACTACACTAGCTAGTCAGTTGTGTCATCTGGAAAATCTAAAACATTCTAACTATGACATTTGAAATATTATTTTAGTTATAGACTGCATTACTTTTGAAAAATGATTTAAGAGTTTATTTAAGTTCAGTTAATATTATTGTGTAAATAGCAAAAGACTGGGTTGTAACAACAAGTGCCTAACTAGTTAATCCATTAACAGTTTGCCAGGTGTAAAGAAACCAGTAGACTCCTATGGTCCTGCTGGAGCTGCCCCTGCCAAAGTAGCTGCTCCCGCACCTGATGATGATGACGACGATGATGACCTTTTTGGCTCTGATGATGAAGAAACTAAAGCTTTAAAAGCTAAGCGTCTTGAAGAATATGAAGCCAAAAAAGCTAAAAGTAATTCATATTTACTACGTTATTTGGCATTTAGTTAAGGTATTATTTTGTACCCATTTAGGCTTCACACTATCTTCAACATTGCTTCAACTGCTTTAACTCATTGATGTCCTTCAAATTTCAGAGCCAGTACTGATTGCAAAAAGTAACATTATTTTAGACGTAAAGCCTTGGGATGATACAACAGATATGAATGAAATAGAAAAATGTGTGCGTTCAATTGAGACTGATGGCTTGCTATGGGGAGCCTGTAAGTAAATATTTAATGCAGACCAATGTTTTAAAATATCTTGAGTGTACAAATTAAATTGAGTGCTACCAAAAGATACAACTGAAAGTTTGAATTAAACCTTATTGTATTCTCTCCCAGCTAAGTTTGTCCCCGTGGGTTATGGTATCAGGAAACTACAGATCAGCTGTGTAGTTGAGGATGACAAGGTAATAAAACCCTTCTTTAAATTAATCTATTTCACTATGTAGCATTTTATCATCAAATAATTCTTCCTTTTCTTTGGATTATTTATAGCACTGCTAAACACTTTTTACTCTGTTTCAGGTCAGCACCGACTTCTTAGAAGAAGAGATTACCAAATTTGAGGAACTTGTCCAGTCTGTTGATATTTTTGCATTTAACAAAGTTTAAACTTTAACTATTTAAATAAACAATACAGATAATTTTTGTCAGGTTTTTCTTTTTGAAATAAAAATGTGTAGACAGTAATGACTGACTGGTGTAATGTTACTGTGCACTTTATGCAGATATTTTGTACCTGCTTGAGCGCAGTTGGTTGAACATGTAGGAGTTGAAGGTTTTTCCCATTTACACATGTACTGTCTTTTCATTTTCAAGATTTCTAGTTTAGTTTTAAAATGTTCCGGTCTGAAGTTTTCAAAACAATGAAAAAGTGGTTAATGGAATATTGAAATTTGTGTGTAAATACAGGTTTATACTGCACATATCTTTTCAACATCTGGACTATGGATTGTCTTCTTGCAGTGTCGTAGCCAGGATCATCTCATGGGATGGTTCAAATTATTTTTTTCCGATATATATATACACATACTAGCTGTTTGTCATTGCTTCGCTATGATGTAAAATAAATTTTAAAGTGGTGCTCTGAAGAAATAAAAGCACAATGTATCAATCAAAACAAGGGGTCGAGTTGGTAAACCGAAAAGTTTCGAGTTCGAACCCTCGGGCAGATGAGGCTCGTTAGCTGGGGACAGCCACTCTTCTAGGAGAGACAACTCCAAACTTAAACAACTGCTTCCTTGTAGTTCTTCGTTGGACAAAGGCTATGGAAGCAAATCCAAAAAGAAAAGCAGGCTGAAATGGGAGTCAATGGAGCATAACCACCAGTTGACACGTGTCCTTAATTGTGATGGAGGCGTGGTCAAGTCTGCAAAAAGCTCATACTAATGGTTGATAAATTCGAACAAAGTCTCGAGTTCAAACCCACTGGCAGATAAGGCTCGATCTCTTCCAACACTAAAAATTAACAACGAAGAAGACTCAAAACCTATTCATAATACAACCATAAACTAATGCAACACAATTTGTTTGGTAATCCTTATGTAGCAACAATTAGACATAATGATTCCTAGAATGCTAATTAAGATAAATGAACTAGGGGAAATAGTAACTCTCTTATTATAACTGTTTCTACAAATTTAATTGTAAATCTCAAAACTGATCAATAATTGCTTTATTATGTAATTTAAAACATTTTTCGTCTTTGCAAAAATAGGTTGTCTACAAAGCATAATGAATGTTTTTTTTTAATCAGAGTTGGTATAAGATCAAACTTTTCTAACTATTAGAAAAACTAAATCTTATAGGTGGAACATTCTGAATAATAGCTTACATATAACTAAATTATTAGTCTTGCAGTTCCGATCATTCATTTTTTTTTAATTAGCTAATGTTTTTTGTGTTCTTTAAAGATCATTTTTGACATAATGATGTGGTATGGGTTAGATCACAATATTCACAGAGGTTTACCTGTTTCAACAGCTATGATTCTGGCGGCATGGTACTTTGGTACCTCATTTTGCATTTCGCAAATGTAGTTAACAGATCGTTTGGGGGGGGGGGGGGTCAACTTTATTCACCACTGTTCAGCCACTTTAGGTGAGTTATCCTACCCAGCGTATACCTAGGTGTGACATGTCGCTCTACACAATTGGGGGGGGGGGGGGGGATAACCAACTCTGCGTGAACATAGCTTTAGTTTTTCGATGGCTGTTCTAAACATACATATACAATTATACATGTATACTGATTCAGAAATAGATTTAAATAAGTAAAATTGGTATTATGACAGTAAAAAAAATTTTTACAGAGGGGTCCATGTTGGGGGGGGGGGGGTGTGATTTTAAACCCCCATCCCGCCTACGCCACTGCCCTCTGATCTAGTTTAGAATTATATAATTATGACTAAGACAAGACAAAATATAAATTCGTTTTACCTATACGAGCTCTTACCTGCTGTTTGTTTTCTAAATATAATAATGGTAATTATTTTTAATTTTACAATTAATCTCTGAATTTAATTAACTGTGCGGTCTACGGGAGATAACAATGTAATTAGTTTTTATTATGAGTACGGTAAGAGTTATCCTAGGTAGACATTTAAATTATTATTTTACACTGTTTTCCCGATATCAGAATATATATTTTACAAAGTAATCAGTTCTAAGAGGGAAAAAAACGCTGTTTTTGTTGAGGGAGCTTGTAGGCTGATGTTTCACGTCATTTTAGGGATTGGGGTCTTGTTTTGGCAACGATGTGGAGAGGGAAATCGTCAAAAAGGCATGACGCAATTTATTGACACCCCGTTAGGCAACAATTGATTATAAAATGAGGTATTTTAACCAAGCGTCCCATTGTAGCTGACGGGGTGGGGGGAGGAGGGTAAGAATATGTGACATTACAAATATGAATTTTAAAACTGTATTTCGGCCATTATTTCGCTTTTAAAAAAAAATACTTTGTTGGATTCCAAATTTAAAAACTCATTGGGTGAATATGTATATAGATCTATATATATATATAGAGAGAGAGAGAGAGAGAGAGTGAGAGATGATGATGAATACAAATTTCTACTTCTATACAGTGCTAAGTTGCTGAGCAAAATATTTCATTACAATTTAAAGGGAATGAAGCATAATCTCCGTAAAAAAATAAAATTACATTGTTATTTCCCTTTGACCATAAAATAAATTTGTTGCTTTTTTTTTTTTATAGTTTTAAAATGGCCAAGTTTGAAACCAATGTGTGACTGTGATATTGTATACTTATTTTAAAAAGAAACCTTTTGAAAACAGATACACACAAATTTTTAATCAGTAATTAATAATTAGTTATAGATTTCAGGGTTAAATCTGTCTTAATTTAACACAAATGAGCAGGCTAGGCGGTTAGACTTTTTAAATTAAAAATAATGCAAAGCATTTGCTATTTAGACTAGATCTAGATGCAAGTTGTGCAAAGCGAAGTTCCCCACTCTATGCAGCCTCTGGCTTTTTCCGCATCGGGCGTCATAAAATTCAAACCCAAACAAAATATCGATGAAGGAAACCCAAGAGCATAAAGTTTTTATTGTATAGTGAGTGCAAAGATTTATAAACTTTCAAAACTTTCAGAAACATAATGGATACGTTGCTGAATCTTATAAAAAATTACTTAAATGATTATTATACATACAAAGTACTTTAAAACGTGTGCTTTTACGTTTTTTTTTTTGTCATGACATTCTCTTAATAGAAAACTATATATATATATATATATATATATATATATATATATATATATATATATATATATATATATATATATATATATATATATATATATATATATAGCTTATATTAGTGTGTGTATGGCCTACCAACGTTTATAACTATTTCTCAATGTTTAGGATTTAGATTTTGGCCTAAATTATTTTGATCTGGCAATTTTGTTAAAATACTTCCGGTTACGAAAATAATAGACTTGCTTTTAATTAAAATTAAATTTTCTCTGAACGACTAAAAGAAAATAATTTTTGAATTATAGGCTCCTTGGGGTCATAGTTAGAATATTTATTAACAACACGTAGTGACTGAATTCTTTTAAATAGTGAGAGAAATCCAAAGATATTTTCGGTAAAGGGTAACCACAGATTTTGAGATTAACTGTGACAGAACAAGTTCAATATTAAATTAATTTATTAAGTTTGTTTTTGTTACTATGATTTATTCATAGAGTATAGTTAAGATCAAGAATCTATTTTCTTTTTCCTATGTTTCTAACAATAAAAGTCAGTTAACAGACCCAGAAAAATATCATTATCATTGATTCATTATTGATATGAATTTATAAGTTAGGCCGTTCGGTTCAACGCTTCCGGGTTTGTCATTTTCGTGGCATTGCATGGCTCATGCGCTTACTAAAATGGCGACCAGTTTCGCTTTCACTAAACGGTAGAAGGATAAAACTAATAATTACGAGGCCATCGTTAATTTTAGACATCGGAACTATCCGTTTCTATTTCAGTCTGTTATTTAAGAATTCCCAGATGTACTTTTGACCTAATTTCTTTGATTGTCTCGCAAAGGGCGCGTAAGTGAAAATAGCTCTATGTATTCTTGTCTATTAAATCAAATAACTCTGAGATATCGCTTGACTCTTAAACCAGCTTAAACTTTAAAGTATTAATTTAACACACATTACAATTAACTGGTAATAATTTATGGGGTTAATGAGATATGTTCGTGGGCAAACAATCACCCCCAATAATGCCATTTTATTATAATCTTGTTTAGTGAAAACGAGGTGCGGGAAAATGTGTGCTGCGCAAGAATCCAATCATTTGGCAAGATTTATGACTTTTTTTATGTCACACCTAAAAATAGAATGTTTACGCTTTCTTCGTTGATGATCGTTTTTATTATTTTTTAAACTGAAAGTGTGTTAAACTTACCCTTTATCAATTTTAAAAGCATAGCATGCTGATTGTAAACGTATCTAGTCATGAAACACAGAAATATAAAGTTGCAATTGCGATGTGCCACACCCGGGTCACACCCCCTCAAGAAAACATGTGTTTATTAAGCTGTTTATCTCACTTTACAACAGTAATTAAAATTAATTTTCAAATTTGTATCACTTATTGGGTAAGATTAAGCACATGTTTACTAAAAAATAAAAAACAAACAAAAGCAAATTCTGTTTTAATGACGTTCACAGGTCAAGTTTTTTTTTCCTTCTGTCAAGTTCAGTGGAGGGTGCCACAGGCTGACCTGACTTTGGAATTTTTTTCAGTAATAATGACTTTGCACAGAAAGTTAAAATATGCTAAATTGGCTTAGTTTACTAGTGTGCTAGCTATTATTGATACATTTTTAATTAAAAAATCATTCCGTAATTCTCATCAAAAAGCCTATATAAGTTAAATATTAAATTTAATAGGCCTATTTATTCCAGAAATATCAAATATCAAAACTACTGCAAAATGTGGTTTGATTAGGATTGTTTGAAGCTTGATTTTTTTCTCTGGTTTCCTGTGTTAACTCCTTATAAGTGTTTGTTTTATCACAATATTTTACAGTTATTTTTACATTTTGTTCAACATTTAAAAATCTATTCTATTGTTATATTAATATGCATTAATTATTGGCATTATTTAGGTCTAATGAATAATGGCTAATGCAAAGGACCAATTGTTTTTTAAATTGCTTTTTTTTAACAGAATAGCAGTCATAAATTTTAAATATAACATCATCAGTTTACAAATAAAATGTCACCACTTTTATTAGAGTTAAGCCGTTAAGTTAATTTTGGCAGAAGCAGGGAATGTATTTCAAAAGGAAAGTCATAAAAAAGTTAAATCTACAGGGGTTCTATGTGTAAAAAGCAATGTATATGTGTGTCTGTCTTTTATTTATGCATTACTACACCTTTCATCCGATCCATCCATGAAACTTTGGGAAGTTGTTGAAAATACTCCTAGGGAGGTTTTTGCTGAAAAAAAAAAAATTTCAAATTCGCAGGGGTAGCATCCCGGGTTGGGTGCAATTTGTTTTTTGTCTATATATGGTATATATACACATGGCTTAGGAAGACATGTTTTATTTATAGTCTCACAGTTAAATGATGGCAATATGAGCAATGTTTTCATTAGTCGTAGGTAGGACCCTACAAATGCAAGACACTGGAGTATGACAATTCAGGGTTAGAGGTCACTTCCAGATTTGCGGCTAGAAGACAGACTAAATTGTAGGTTATCTCACAGTATAACATTGGTTATTATTCCAGATTGGTTCGGCAGTTGTAAAAAATGTAAAAAAAAACAGTAAAACAATGGCGTATAGTCTGTCACATCATTCTGGGAATACACTGAATGTAAACCGTATTTTATGTTGAGCCTCTAAAAATTCGGATTGATTAAGTTTAAATACATGTAAAATTTTATTTATATTAATTTGAACCCTAACCCTTAGGCTGCATTTCATAATTTAATTAGTTGATTAATTATACCAAATGGTAATGGAGCTTTTTGTTAAGGCATGAACCCAACATTATTTAGGCGTGGTATGTTGTCGGGTAGGCGCACTACTAGGTATACAAAGGGTCAACTCAATATATCCAAGGCATTTGATTAAAAAAATATCAAACATATATGATAAGCTGTCTTCATGCTAGTATCTTATAAAACAGAACATGAGCCTAATTATTGAGTTTATTTTAAAACATCTTTTTAGCCTATAATACTTGACAGATTTATAATAATATATCATTCGTATGAATGTACATAACTTAAACCAGGATTTTAAAAATTCAATTATATTAAATGTGCGTCTGAAGTTATTTTGACAATGGTCTAATCTCGTTGAACTACATCTGTCATTCCCCTTTACTATTTCTTTTTCTCTATTGTAAATTAATTTTTAAGTACAATAGTATAAAAATGCTGTCTTGATTTTTTTTAAATTTTTTTTTTCAAAGGTTTTTAGTGCATATTAATCTTTTATTAAGAAAATAAACAAATCCTACTATAATTAAATTAAAATCCCATTGATCAGAGGCTAAGATTGCTGTCAAATCCCAATGTTGACTGCAATGGCTGATGGGGAGCAGCACTTTACCATCTATGATCCCACCTCCAATCAGCCAGTGACAGTGACAGTAAATAATGTGGTTCAAAGTGCAGAAGATGCTCAAGCTGTGCAGAGCATTCAGTATATCACCACAGCAGATGGTGTGCAGGTGGCTCAGATTGGATCAAATGATGTCATACAGGTCAGGGAACTTGTTTTCTTATGCAAGAGCTTTTCTAATATGTAGACTTTGAAGTGAGTAATGTTTTCCAAAACATGAGTCCTACAGAAGATTGTGTTTGCTAGGGTGGTCTCTTGGAAGGGTAGTAAATTAACTGTGATCTACTTTCCCTGGGGTTTAAAAAAAATTATTTACATTTATTGTTTTTTTAATATTATTTTGATGCAAAATGACCCAGCTATACTGAGCACATTGCAATAGAAGTTAGGCTACATAAAAATGTAATAATTAAATGAAGAAAAAGCATTCTATTATATAAACATTTGATAAGCTGGGAACAACTGTTCTTTAACAGGTAGCACAAGCTGATGCCAGTTTTCAGCAGGCTGCAGGATTCCAGACTATAGGTGCAGGACAGCCACAAGTTATTTCTAACGCATCTTTTGCTCCTAATACTCAGGTGATTCAAAATCTACCAAACCTCAAGCATTTATACTTGTTTTTTTGTTAACTGTTATCTTGTGCTAGTATATACATTTTTTGGCGGTGGGGGAATGGGGTCTGCTATCAATAGTAGATTTCACCATTCTCTCCTACTATGCTGAATGTGGAAACATTTACTATCTGCTGAGTACGGAATAGAAAATCTAACTACTTAGGGTTTTTAAATGATAGATTGGTATCTTTGTGATTAAATTTAATATATGTTCACCTTTGATATGTGTAGGTTTTATAAATATATGCATCACTGACTATTTTATTATGCATCATTCCTCCTCATCCTCTCTCTCTCTTCCCCCCCCCCCCCCCCTCCCCCTTCAGAACCAGACTGTTCTAACTTCACTTATCAAAAAATTTTATGACAGGCTTTAAGTTTTGCTTTTCTAAACATTTTTATATTATAATTATTAAGCACTTGGTGAAATGGAATTGTTGTGTAATTATGTGATATGGGGATGTTTTTGTGGATTTAGAACAATAATTGTGTATAAATCTGGGGGAAAAACTGGAGTTAGAATGTCTTCAAGGGAAGCGTCATTTTAAACGCATATTCAGAAAATGTACACTTTATATTAACGAAAATAAATCTTTTTATTTTTGTCCGCCAGGTTGCATCAATAGTCCAGTCAAATGTCCTTCAAAATGTGCACCAAACTCAGACTGCCCAGCCTTCTCAAGCACCAGCCATTGGCAGCTCATCTTCAAACATCATCCCACAGATGCTTTTTCTCAACCAGGTTTCAATCAATGGACAAACATCTTATGTCCTTGTTGATGCTAATAACAAACCAGTTCAGCTTCCCCAGGGTAACTTTTTTTTAAAACTTTGCACAGCTGGACAACTTTTACTTAAGTTTGTTGCTTTGTATATTCCAAATAGTTAGATTACATTTGGAAAGCTAGACACAAATTTTTTATTCTTAAATTCTTAAGTTTCAACTATTAATCAAGCCATAAAGTTATCTTCATTAGAAAAATGTTTGTACTGTTGTGCTGGCTATAAGTTGATTTTATTATTTAACCAAAGGAATACAAGTGATCAATCTACCAACCCAACAACTAGCAGGCCAACCAATCCAGATGGTAAGAATTAATTTGATTCATTACATTCAACTGTATAGTTTAACCCATGACAATCCTATGCGACCACAATCACCTGAGAATTTTTGTGTGTGGTACAGTCAGTTATGCCCATGATCGAATGAACTATATCAGTAGTAATGGACGCTTAGTTGGTAATGATATTTTGAAGATACCTGCGGAATGGAAAATAATAAGTTTTCTTGTTTTATCAGTAGCGGTTTATTTTTTTATTTTTTTAAGTTAAGAATTTTTTTCCAAAATTACAGGTAGTATAGTAAGTGAAATTAAAACTAATCAAAATGCCACTACTGGTTTAATTTTTTTGTTACTAATACAGTGATGTTGAAAATGAAAGAGGAACCAATGACTACATTAATAATTTTTTTTAGCATATTGAATAAAAAATTCACACAAAAGTAATATTAGGAGTAGCGTTGTGATTTAGTTTTTCTGGGATAAATGATATTTTATTTATGATAAGTAAACCATCATGCTATTTAAGTTCGTGCATAATAAACTAAAATAAATGGTGGAGGCCCTATGTTCCATAAGTCAAATCATAATAAACTTAGATCAATTATGTGAATAATGCTTTTTTTTTAACATAGGTGTAGTTATTTTAAAATAATTTTTTTTTTAAATGTGTAGTCCAAAATTGCTTTGTTTTATTTTTTTGCCTGGCCGTAGGGGAAGTAAAATAGTTTTGATGTCCTGGACTGTAAAGGTTCAATGTCTTACTTTTGCAACAAGTAAGTAAAGTTCCCTTTTTGAACCTGATGGTCCATAGGGCAAGTGAAGTAGAGTTCACCTGTTTCTGTGATCTCGGTATATGAAGGGATAGTGTGTTCATCACTATGCCCCACAGCCTTCACTTTCCCTAATGTGAATTAGGTACCCATCAGAGCTGAGTGGACTAATGGAGGTTCTACTGACTTGAACCCGGGTTAGCAGTCTAGCGCTCTACTACTATGCCAAGGCAACGACTACTTTTGTAACAAGGATTTTCCATCAGTTTTGTAATTCTCTGTGTCTAATGTGTAATTCATTAATCGCCTGTATAGCCGACCAGTGATACCGGGGATGAGCCTCTGTATGTCAATGCTAAGCAGTATCACAGGATATTAAAGAGAAGACAAGCCAGGGCTAAACTAGAATCAGAAGGAAAGATTCCTAAAGAAAGACAGGTAATCTTCCTCAAGTTTGTCCAACTGGGGCTGTACTTAATTATTTGTCGCTGTACATTTTGCTTAGAGGGACAAAATCTAAGATCATCTTTTTGTATTAAAGTTAAAGATGGTAGTTTTAAAGATAGACTCAAAGCATAACACAGGACATTCAAAACACTAGATAAGACAAATAACAATTAAAAGCTTAATTGTATGATTTTATTATTTTCTAAATCCCCCTTTGAAGAGGTATTGTGGGGCCGTCTTTGTTGGCACCATATGCAACTTTTAAACCTTAAACTGAAATGTTTTTTTTTTTTAATTTTAAAAACGGTTTGCTCTTTTCACCAGAAATATCTGTACGAGTCTCGTCATCGACATGCTTTGAATCGAACACGAGGAAGTGGGGGCATATTTGTAAAGGGCAGCGAGACAGACAGCAAAAGTAGCCTCCATCAACAGTTGCAGCCAACCAAACATGAGTATCAGATTAGTGGGCATCTCTAGAAGAGAAGTCCAAAGACAGTGCTAAAATTTAATTTACAATCTGGACTGAATTTTTGAAAGTGTTTATCATTTTAGTGACCTTTGAATTTGTTTTAATTTGGATGTTGTTTCATTAAATTTGTTAAAGAAAGTTTAATTTTAGTGTTATACAACAGTTAAAAAATGATCATTCTTTGATAAATTGTGTAAAACATTCAATATACCAGGTTTGATGGTAGAAAAAGTTTCGATTTTCAGAAGCTTTTGTTTCCATGTGCTGCTTGTTTCAGCAGTTTATCATCAGTTCTACTTAAGAGATGTGGAAGAATTGGCTTTATTAGTTGTTATTGTAACTTCCAATATTTATTATTATATTCTTATGCTTTGAATAGTTTCTCCCCATTTCGTACTGTGTACTGACAGATTCTCTTCATCTCAGAACCAGGAATTATATACTGACAGATTCACCAGATTGTATTGCTCAAAACTTTCCCCTGAATGCAGAAAATATTAGTGCTTGTGTTAAATTTCAAGTAAAAATGTTATTAAAATATTGCCAGCAACCTGATAACAGAATTGATCTCACTTAGGATTTTTATCAAGGTTCCTCTAAGACAATAGGGTTGACACAAATACACCTAAAATTGATATGTATAAAAAAAATTGATCCATGATATATTTATCTTCTGATATTAGATTTAGTTATCTTAAACCTAGAAACTTTTATGTAAAGGCAAGTTAAGCTGCATATGCATTGATTTGTATATAACAATAACACATTTGAAATAAACCTCTGTAAAAATGCAGTTTTTTCTTTTTATCTGTGTTTTAATTGATTGTGGTTAGTGTTACGTTTAAAGTTAGCGTTGGGTTTAGGGTTATGTGTTCTTTTGTCAAACATCTATGCCAGGTATAAGCTGCTTAATAAACAGTAAACACAAGTCATGGTCCTTTACCAATAGGTTTTTCAGAGGCCGGGGCGGCTAGTTAGCTTTTACTGTCTCTTTTTTACCTGGATCTGAATCATCAAATGGACCAAAACATCTAAAATTTTAAGTTTGATAGCAGTAAATTTTGTCCAATAGGTTAAAGTAATGGTTCAATCTTCCAGTATTGTAAACCTTTTTAACACCGTGTTTACACTAGCAACATGTTTGAAAAAGTGGGTAGACCTTCCATGTTTTAGTAAATAACTGCTGGCACACATGTTGCAACTAACTGACCATATCTTAGTTACCTCAATGGTGACAATACTTATTGGATCTTGTAGTGGAGGTATTTTAGATTGTTGACCCATGATTTCTACATCCTTACTACGTGAATTTACTGGAGCATTTAGCTGGGCAAAAAAATAGTCTTTAGAAATTAAATAAAAATTAAAACATGAACCGATGTTTTTAAATTTTTGTTTGAACATTTCAGTTCAGGGTTTCAAGATTGAATTTCAGGACTTCCTTAGAAAAATTTCAAGACCTAATAAAAAATAGACCTCAGTCTTTCTTTGACCAAATACTGACCAAGCCCCAGCAGTAATAAGTTAGTGATTTCTCCTTTATGTACATGGTATTTTAATAATACAAACACAAGAATTCTATTTTTCAAAGTTAATAAGTTAGAAAGTATATTCGAGTACAAGTATTGCTATACTGGTTAAAAAGCTTTTTATAAGACATCCTTTAAACTGCAAAATAAGTGTGATAGAAAGAAATTGGTTTTATTGTAAATTCAGTTAAAATACATAAAACAAGTAGGCCTATTACATAATTAAATTGATGGCTCAAGACAAGTTTTTCACAATTACAAAAATAGACTAACAAAACCAAGTTTTTTTAAAGCATTCAGTTGTTCACAAAATGTAATGTCAAACAAATGTCAGCAGTTCATAAGAATATTAAAATGATCTATTTATAATTTGAACAAAATTCCCAAAACAATATATTTTTTAAGTATTTAGATTTAATGGGTTTTAACACAAGTTAGCCTTCAATAGAGAACTAACTGGACAAAAATGAGGTAAAATGACTAAACAACTTGATATCCTAAGGGATCTTTGTTGTCATCCAGCAAACTGTGAGCTGACTTCATTATCTGAGTTAAAATATGCTGCAGGGACTCCTTGTCAAACTCCTAGCAAAAGATAAATGTTCATTAAAGAATAACAAATATTTAATACAGGCAACTATATATATAAAACAATACATAAGGAAAATCTATTTTTACAGAACATGTTATTTAAGCCTATTGCCTGGTGTGGTTGATAGAGAACAAAATAAGTTTATAAGAATATGATAATGATAAAATAAAGTAAAAAAGTTATGTAACACTACTTAGACAATACATAATAACATTAAATCTTTACAATCTTTAAGTGTTTGCTGTGTGTGGTACAGTTTGGTCCCGAGATATGTTGAAGTACATTTATTTATCTGTAGTAAAGGATGTCTCGGTAAAGAGATTTTGAAGGTGGCAGCAGGAAATAAGTTTTATTTACCTTGTTTTCTAATTAAATTGTGAATTTAAATCTAATTAAAATGCTTCTGCTGTTGAATCTGGCTTTATTTATAATGTAACAAATACAGTGTTATTGAAAAAGAAAGTTGCTCCAGCAAGTATGTTGAATTTTAAAATTTAAACAAACATTTAATGATTTATAGAAATATTAGAATTAACGTTTTGTTTTTTGGGATTAATGTAATTTTATATTTATTAATAGATTACTATTATGCAATTTCACCTTATACATAATAAACTCTAGTCCAATTTTGTATAATGCTTTTTATTTTATTTTTGCTACTTAAAGAGTTGTTTTAAAATAATTTTGTTATAAAAAGTGCCATGGTTGAAAAATGTATCGTCTTTTCATGTGGTCGTAAGGAAGTAAAATAGTTTTGATGCACTGGACATGAAATGGTAAAATGAGTGAAGCTAAAATCTACCTTGTATAGTTGATGTTGTTCTGATGCAATGATATCTGCTAGCTGCACAGCCTCTACATACATTTGACTGGAATCTAACACCTTATGCAGGTTGAGACATAATGCAGGCAGGTGCAGCTTTCTTAACCTGGACATTTGCTCCTGTCTAGAAACATCTGCATCTTCATCCTAGGGAGAAAAAATAAACTCACTGCACCTTCTGAAAAACTTAAGAGCTAAAGCAAATGAACTATTTTTTTTTTACAACTTATGTAAGCACAAACTAGTCTGATAGGTAACTAGGATATACCTGCCATGTATCTACTAGCCAACCTCCATCTGTGAACAGTAAAACATTGTAGATTCTGTCTCTTGTTGTCTGAAAGAATTGAAAACATCAACCTCTTGTGTACAAGTATACATGACAGGAGTTTACATACTAAACTAAATGTATGTGATATACAGCTAATGTGGATGACTACCAAGCTGAATTACCCTTGTTTGGACTTGCAAGTTGTGCATCCAACGCTCATACTCTTGTTGATACTGCTTCATCCTATGATCAAAAGCAACTCTGTCAGTAAAACTTCCACCCTCTACTCCACTTGGTTTGACTGGCTGCCCTTGGTGATACAAACTAAACCAGTCATTGAAACTTTCCACAGCATCCTGTTGTCAAACAAAAATTTGGGGAGTATTATTGTGGATTTTGGCCAGGCCATTAAATTTGATAAAAACTTATAATTTCTATGTGAGGTATCTAGCATACGTAAGTTTAAAGTTCAAACTGTAACTGACAGATCATTTGAACAGTTATTCTCCAATGACAAGTGATAAATGCAAGCTTGATTATCACAGCCTGTGTTTCACCAGCAGAATCAATATTTTTGTTCCTATCATTGACTACAGCTAAAGAATATTACCAGGTATGCTTTCATGCACATGTACTCTCTGATAGCATTGTTGACATTGGCAGGAAGTTCACTTGAGCTGGTCTGTATACAGAGGGAAAAAAATGTTAGAGCAAAAACAAGAATGTGAATATTTGAAACAGTTACACTAGCAAAATTATTGAAAAAATAGATGTTCACACCTGGGACATAGAGCTGACAAGACTGAGTAAGAAATTAATTTAGATGAAAGTATAACCTAACTTTTCTTTACACAATTTGATCATGGTAAATAAAAGAGATAAGCAGGCCTACCCTTGTGTACCAGGATCTTAAGATAACATCTATTGTGTCGGATGGAAGTTTTTCAAAAACTTGTCGAGCTGCTGCATGTTTTTTTACAGCTGAAAACAATAACTTGAATATATGAAAATACTCTTTGCAAAGTAATATAAAGTAGAAATCCCCACCCCCTGCCAAAGCTCTTTGGGTAAAATAAGTTAAGGACAGCACAGTATTTGAACAAAAAGTAAGATTATTTTCAAAAAACAGATGTTCAAAATCTATCTCATGGACTGATGTATTGTCTTGGTCTAAACAAGAGTTTTTCATATCAATTTTTCTTATTAGAGTAAAATAACATACCAATAAATGTTCGCATCATTGCATTAGCTTGTTTAACAGCTTCAGATCTGTGTGATGGGTCAAATACTAACCACTCAATGGCATCAATCTTTGCTTTGTCTTCCTGTCAGATTTATATAATTACAAAAAGTTTAATTTTTTTTTACCACAATTAGGTGCAGACTGGAATAAATAATTTACAATAAACTCCCAAATTTGTGGGGGTCGGTGTGGTTGAGTCGGTAAAGCTCACAAAAAAACGAAAAGTCACAAGTTCGAACCCTCGGGCCACTATTCTAGGAGAGACAACTCCAAAATCAAACAACTGCTGCCTTGTAGTTTGTTCTTGGTTGGACAAAGGCCATGGAAGCAAATCCAAATGGCCTCAATGGCGCATAACCAGTTGACAAGTATACTTAATTGTGTTGGAGGTGTGGTCAAGTGTGCAAAGCTCATGGCTGTTAAAATTCTAAAAAAAATGTCTCGAGTTTGTACCCTCTAGCAGATAAAGCTCGATCCCTTCCAACACTAAAAATTAAGAACGAAGAAGAATTCCCAAATTTGACATTAAGACCTCCTCAAAAAAGTTTGAAACGCAAAGCAACTAATTCCATCATGAAGGTCACTTATTTTACGAAACTTTTATATAAAAATAGTTAATTCTAACATTTTAATTGTGGTAAAAATTATTGAGTTTCTCCCTTACCTCTGTGATGTTAAGGTCAGCAACTAAACTAGTTTCTGGGAAAAGAGAAACTGTTTCTCTACTTCTTATTTTCTCCACAACAGTTTTAGTAATAAGAGCCACGTCCAGATTTTCTTCTTCTGCCCAGATTAAGCACTGCTGTCGCTCATCTTGACTCTCAATGTCTATTGTAAGATTTAAGGTAATTTTAAAATGAACAGTGTCTAATTTAACTAAAATTAATGAATTCGTCCTTACAATGCTAACATTCCTACTTTCCCTATCAGTAAAAACATACCTTCCAAAAATGATGCATACAAGTGAACTTGGGCTGAGGGACTAAGGGCAGCAACATAATGAGCTACCAGATTCTTCTGCTTGTTTTTTATTAAATGCCTAACATAAGCTTTTAAAATAGCTTCACACTGGTCATCCTAAAAAGCAAAATTTTAAATAGCCATTTTAACATCACAAACAGAACGTTTCTAAAATGAACAACTATGACATGAGAAATATGAGCAGTTTGTACCTTGCATGCTCTTCCAATAGTTCTGAGGAAAAGAATAATGTGTGCCATAAGTCGCAGCAAATGTCCTGGTGTTGCCTCATCATCCTTGTCCAGCCAGCCATGCATCACTTCAATGAGTCCTGTGAACACATTTTTACTTTAATGGCATGCATTATCTACAATAAAAAGTTTCTTGTTTTGTATACCATGTATATTAACAAAGATTATAAAAATAATAGCAATTACCAGATATGTCATTGAGAATTATGAACTTTTGAATGATGTGATACCAGTTTTCTGCTTGTAGACGCACATTCTTGAAAAAAATATATAAAATTATTTTAGAAAAAAAAGTTTGCTTATTTACAATTTTAAATAAATTAAAATGATTAAATTTTGTAGGGAACCAACAGTTACTGTTGTATACACCTCATTACCTCATCATTGTTGAACACTAATTAAACTAATGATTACCCCCATCATTGTTGAATATTATCTAATTAAACTCTTGATTACCCCTTCATTGTTCAGATTGATCTAATTAAATACTTAATTACCTCATCATTACTCGCATTTATCTCTTTGAAAATCTCAGAAGGTTCATAGCTAAGAAAAAAATGTGAACATCAAAATTTTTGTCTCTTTCTAACAAGATTTTTTAATTAAAAAAAATGCAAATTAATGATTAACACCCTGTTTACAAGTTATAGTGTAATGATAGCTACAACAGTATTCTACACAGTATACATACATTTATAAATACCATAGAATTAGACAAACAGTGCAGTGATAGCTACTATAACATTCTACACAGTATATATACATTTATGAATCCTACATTTTTTTAATACTACAGAATCAGACAAAATGACATAAATAACATTAGACCTACAATAAAATAAAACAAACCAACTTTTTTTCAAAATACTCTGGTGGCAGTTGTTCAAACTGTCTATCAATATGGCGATGAAGTCTAATTTCTTGCTCTACCTTTACATCAACCATAACCTATAGAAAAATTAAATTAAATGTAGTCTTGTGCATGTACACAATGAAATAAAACAAATTAAAGAAATCAATCAAATTAGCGTTTCTGTGTTTAAATCATTACCTTGAAGTAAGCCCAGACATAGTCCATCCATGATGCACAAACAGGCAGCATGCCATGCAGATTTCCACTCAAAGTTGCATATACAGCTCTCTCAAACTGGTCCAGGTCCTTCTACATAAACAATATACATAAAGTTTATAGACAGTGATAAAGTAACAAACTGTCTTTAGTCAAACACATCAACAAACACAGTTGGAGGAATTAAGCTTTCACCATCCAAATTCAATGAGTTCCTTAAATGTTTGAGTTACAGGTAAACTTCTGTTCTAATGACTGAAGGAGTAAAGTAAAAGTTTCATGTAAAGGAACAGATAAAAACAATGAGAGAAAATCCACACAAATTTAACTTCAGTAAACCATTCAACTTCACTCTGCTAGTAGAGGCTCAGGGTCCCATTCACAACTTGCTAGCAGGACCAAATAGATCCTCTTAAATTGAAATGTATACAGAAATACTAATCTATTTCAACTACTACAATGAAATCAGCGACATTTAAATACCTCAGAGGCCATCCGCCAGCAAACAGCTTTCCATATATCCCGGTATGGGTTGCCCTCCACGGGAGCAACCTCAGAGGTTAAAGAAGAAACATAGTAGTTAGAATCATGCAGCAAGCGCCAACCTTCTAATGTAGCTGCCCTCCACGGCTGACCACAAGCATGGCAAAGTTCTTGAGCCTGTCCAAACAAAAAAGTTAGCAAAATTACTTTTAAACTTAATTGTTACACAATAAATTTTTGAAAACTTGAATATCTAAAGTATGTATCTTACTAAATGTGTAATCAATTGTATAGTAGACTTGCCTTTTCTAATTGACCTGCACGTATAAAAATGAAGAGATTTTGGATGAAAAACCTATCATCTTCCTGATCCAAGTCATCTAAAGATTTCTTCAGTCTGAGGGGAGCATCTGGATCCTTAGAGGAAAGAAGGCATCAAAAATATTTTTTAACTCATCAAAGAAACATGTTAAACTAAGATACTTTGTAAATCCAGGGATGATTTTCAAATAAATTTTAAAAGAGCTATAAAATTAAAGAGGACCTTTTACAGAAAAACCTTTAAATTTAATTTGCAATATGAAGGTAGCACAGGTTACTCACCATTTCATTGATATATCTATCAGAAACATTTCGATGACCTTGTTTTAATTTTTGAAGATGGTGAAGTGTATTTTCCCTGGGAGAAAATTAATTATGTAGGTAAATGTATAACTCTTATCTTAAAAGTATACATTTTACAATATAGGAAACAGCACTATATAAGAAATTGATTATCATGTGAACATAACTATAAGCATCCAAAGAAAGTTACACAAGACAGTCCATACCATGAAACAGGCTGATCCACAAAGAATTTTACATTTTTATAGTAAGTTTCAAGATGCTCAGATGCACAAGTTTCTAGCCAGTCGATAACAAGCTGTCAGATATGGAAAGAAAATTGAATTAAACCAGGTGCCTCTTTAATCAAGCGATATTTCAGTTATCAAAACCAACATTTTTTTCAACTCATCTTTACCAAAAAGTATAACAAGTACCTGACTTTGTCTGACTAAGGCATCTTTTTCAAACAGGCGATTAGCAATATTGTTTTCACTTAGAGACCATACCTGCATGGAAAAAAAAAAAAATTAACCCACTAATAAAAGAATATACAAAACAAAGCCTGACTAGACTTGGTCTTACCACAGCTTTAGAGGATGTGTCCTCACTATCTGACATGTCAAATGATTCCTCTCTGGCCTCAGTCTCCAGTCTGTCTTTGTACAGTGATCGTATCAGCTTCCATGTGTTTTTCTCATGTTGTAGAAGTTCAAAAGTATCCATTGTTCTTTTAAACCTGTCCAGAAATAAATAGATATTTCAACTTAAACTTTTTCATGGATTTAACATGTATTGGTGGTACTGTAGGTCACCTTATACTTAATGTCTGTGGGATACTGTAGGTCACTGTATTGATCATGTGTCTGGTACTATTTGCCTAGTCTACAGCATGTGTCTGTGGTACTGTGTAATCTACATCATATATGGGTACACTGTATCAAAGCAGCTATAGTCTATAATATATATCTATGAGAGCCTTACTTTGGCTGGTTGCGCGTGACACTTCGGCTGAGATGCTTAAGACAAGAAACTTGTTCAGCGCAATAAGATTCATATTCTGTCAGTAGGTCCATCACCTGGTGTGGGGATGTCAACTGCTTTAGAATCTCCTTAAATGCGCCATACATGCCAGTAGAGGCTAGATATGAAGGAAACAATACAAATTTTTAACAGCTCTTGGGGTTGTGTCTAAGACATGCAACGCAATCATTCAAGCCATACATTTTTTTAACTTATGATGTGTTTTTAGCCTGCCTACCTTTCTTCCCAGGATCTTCATCAGCAATTAAAGTTAAATTGATGTTAGTAAATTCTGTGGTGTCAAGCTGTGATGGAAGGGAAAAAATACTACCATGTCACATTTAAAGAGACAACATTTCACATTGAACATTTCTGTAGAAGAGTTATTTTCTTTTGAAAAATTTGAATAAAACTAAACTCAGCATAGGGATGACATCAACTTAACAAAAACTTACTCCTGTTGTTAAGTTAGCATTTTGAAACTGTCTGCCTGGTGTCTGCTGTTGTGTCAAGTGTTGAGAAGTTAATTCCAGGGCCTGAAAATAAAATCAAACACTAACTAAAATTGTAACAAATAATAATTGACAATACTACAGAGGAGCATAAATACTTATAAGCAAACAGGAGTAAATCATTGTACTGAATAAATAGGAGTAGACAATTCAATTTGGTAAACATTAATTATTTGATGACAAAACTTATGGCTAACTATAATGATAAAATAATTTTTAACTCACAGGAGATTGAAGCGGTGTTATCTTCTGTGTGGGGGTAAAGTTGAAAAGATCACTTGCATCAAGTCCAGAGCTTTGGCGTGCAGGTGTGTCTAGATGGTACATAAAACATTACAGATCTCAACAGTGAAATAAGCACATCTTAATATTGTACAAAGGAGACGTTGCCTAAAGGTAGAGCACTAGACTTCTAGCCTCAAAGTCTTGACTTCTAATCGGACCTCACATTAGTAGAACGTTAGGAAAAGTAAATGGCTAAATTTAATGATGGGAATACTAATGTTTAAGTAGATACATACGTGTAGAATGTCGTAAGCTTCCTCTGGGTGTACGGATGGATCGATTGACGTATGGTGTGACAGCATCATCAAGAAGTTTAATCGCTAGCAAAAAAAATTGAATTTATTAAGGCATAATTTTTTTTAAGTCAATTTTTTTTTGTAGTAATAAACACATATTTTTTAAACTCTATGCAGCTTAATGAAAGTATGTAAAAATGTATTGAATATTAAACTTAAAATAGAAGATGTGATGGCTCTCACATTTCTGGAGATTAAGATTGGTGCTTCTTCTCTTCAGAGCTGTTGCTGTTTCTTTTGCTCTAGGAACAGGTGTGTCCCCTTGTTGCAGGAATGACTCAAAGGATGGACCCTAAATGATGAAAAAAATATCATACTTATGCAAGAAATTTTTTATACACAAATTACAATGGTTGACAAAGTTTTTACTATCTATCAGTGTTTTCACTGATCATATATTTTATTGATCGTACACAGATATGTCAGCAATTATTGAGCCTTAACACAGCTACACAACAAGCAACAAAAAAATGTATTTAAACAGGAACATAAAAACATATTTAAGAAAGGATCTGAAATGGGGGGATGTGGTAAAAATGTAATTTTTGACATTACGACTTTTTTGTGACTGTGATGGGTGGTTTTTAACATTTAACAGAGGTCAAGAAATGTGACGTCATTTATGATTAAATTACTAATTTTTTTTTAAACGATAAACTCAAACTAATGTTTTTAAAGAAACAGAAATCTGAAACACCGTTGGTATTGGTATTAAATTAATTATTAAAAGTTAATTTCGGAATTTCAGGATCTCACTCAACTGTCTTAGCCCTATCATAAATGAATGTGTTTTGTCTAGAGATCTAGATCTAGATCTATCTAAACTATCTTCTATCATCATGTGTTTTGAGTTTTGATTTAGAGTAACATTACCAGCCCCGGGCACCCTTAGCCCGAAACGGAGACTCCTTTCCGGTTCGAGGCACCTAATTTCGTTACTATTTGACATAGAATGAAAACCAAAGCATAGAAATACTCTCCATCCAAAGAAGAATAAAAATATGTATTCCCTTTTTTTCCATTCGCAATAATTCTTTTAAATATATGCCCCCGAAACAGACGACCCAGTCGTCCTAGACCCGACAACAATTTTCCCGGTTTTGCCTCCAAACGACTGGTCTTTCCTCCATCCGACTAAGTCATTTTTTGCTTTTTTTTGTCAGCTCAGTTGAATAAATAATCTTGTACTATTAATATTTTGTGTTTAGTTTTGTGTTTCAGTGTGTATTTGTTTTTTAAATGCCAAAAATAATATAATTTATAACAATGGGAAAAAAATTGTAGGGGAGATAACTCTTCCCAATAAAATGCGTGAATAATTACTCTGGTAAGGTTTACTATAGGTAATCGTTTACTGGCAAAACACGTAAATTTTCATCCTCCTTACAACTACCCAAAAAAAAAATGTATTTTGTAAAGAAAATAGCATTTTTTATAAAAAATATATGTTCTGTAGCCTATCCCATTCAATTTCAAATAATTTTTTCTGAAAAAAAAAATAAACATTGTTTTAAAAAGACGTTAAGTCGGGAGGAGGCTTTGCTTGTCCCGGCAACATAAAAATGGCCGCCTACATGACGGGTTGCTTTTAATTGCTCATATCCCACTGTGGGTAATTCAATGGATCAAAGTTTGGGTAATCTATCGTTTTGGGTACGTAAAATCGCCCGCGGCTAGTAATGTACAAAAAAGTTACCTCATTGTCAAGGCTTTAATAGAAGTATATTTTGATATATTTGTGTCAAATATTATAGATAAATGAATAAATAACCTAAATCAATAGCTAAATATATCAATATAGGCAAGAAATTAACTTTTAACAGCAGTGTTTGTGAGCAGGATTTCCTATATAAACAGCAGCCATTTGTAAAATAGAGTTGCCTTCCCCTGATCTCGCGCTATAAGTTAACAAAGAAAGAACTTAAACAGGATGGCTGCTATAGTAAATGATCATGGTTGCATCTGTTGGAAACATCGCTAGTATTCATTTATTATTGAAAAGTTTTAATTCAATTGTTTGAAAACAGGTACATAAATGAAACAAGGAAACATTTTTGTATTTTTCAAAACACAACTCCTCCTCAAAATTTGAAATAATTATTAAAATTTAAGGAGTCACCTTTTTTTCACATTACTGGTCGCGGGCGATTTTACGTACCCAAACGATAGATTACCAAAGTTTGATATAAATGGACTTATAAATGGACATATTTGCTACCAATTATTATGTTTCTGTATAAAACATTCAAATAACAGTGCAATTAGTATTCAAAGTGAGAGTTACGGAGTTGTTCGTTTCGAGGCGCGTAGTCGGGCCAGGCCAAGTTACTCTAGACTCTAGTATTTTATTACATCACTAGGCAAAAATATAGGTCTACTCGTATTTTAATTCAAGCCATATGATATTAACTTATTTATTAATTATTATTATTAATTAGGCCTTACTTAGTGGACTACTTGTACCCTACCCCCAAACTGCAGCGATAAGCTAGCGCCGGCTGAATAAATTTTTTGTAAGAATTTAATTTTTAAAGATCTAGATTCTAGAATCTAGACCTAAATTCTAGATTAGATCTGTCTCAATCTAGATTTATATTTAAATCTACTGTATAATTACAAATAACTAACCACTCTGTCCATTTCTGCTTTATTAAGTAAATGAATACTAGAAATTAAAAATCAAATGTAATTCATCATGATTGAAACCCGAAGCACCATTGTGGTGTTCCGGTTAACAATTTTGATATTAACCCGCCATTTTGAATGGTTAATTAAAAAAAAAATTCAGTAGCTGAGCATAATTCGATCTTTAATGGTTAATGATACAGAGTAAATACGTGTATTTAAAAAAATGTTGCTTATAAAGTAAACTGTATTTAAAATATAAATTTATAATACGATATCAGTAATACTGGCTTTAAATATTAAGTAAAGTGTGACTAGACTAAGTATAAACTGATGTGTTTTATTTCGAAACAATTATAAATAATATATTCAAACAATTTTAAAAATAAAACTCCACAAATACCAAACGCTGAAATAACCATTAGCAGTAATCGCTAATAGATCTAGATCTAGCTAGATCTAGCTGTACGCCCTAGTCTAAATCAATAAAAAATTAAATAGCATGTCTTTCTGCGGAAAAACTTCCTTAACTAGGGGCCATCCGCTTTTCACTCTTGGAAAGGGTTGGGTGGAGACTATGACCAATGACGAAACAGATCAGTTGCGGGGGGGGGGGGGGGGGCATCGACATTAAAATAGAATGGGGGACCTTACCCCAAAAGCATTTTTAGGGGGGGGGGGGGGGCGGGTCAGGGTAAGGCTACTCATGACAACACGCATATTATATACAGAGGCGTAGCTAGGGGAGGGCGGGCGCCGACCCTAGGGGGGGGCGCCAAAAAGGGTAGAAAAACAATAGCTCATTTTAAGCTGCAGTTTTGAATTATAAACAGTCAAAGTAAAGAAATTTAACGGCTGAGAGCCTTTGTATACTGATTTGACTGTTTTCTATCTTGATTGTGTAACTGTAAAACGTATATCTTTAAGAAACACCCAGTCAGCACACATATATTGGCCCAATATTGGCTAAACATTGGTTACCAATATTGGCTACATCTTGGTGCAACATTGGCTTAACCTTGGCGAAACGTTGGTAGTGAAACTCGGCATGATGTTGGCGCAATGTTGGCACAATATTGGCTATATCCCGGCTACATATTGGCCCAACATTGGCTAGATCTTGGCCAAATATTGGCTATATCCCGGCTACATATTGGCCCAACATTGGCTATATCCCGGCTACATATTGGCCCAATATTGGCTACATCTTGGCTCAATATTGGCTATATCTTGGCCCAATATTGTCTATATCATGGTTACATCTTGGCCCAATATTGGCTACATCTTGGCTCAATAATGGCTATATCTTGGCCCAATATTGGCTATACCTTGGCTCATCCTGTATTATATCCTGGCTACATCTTGGCCCAATAATGGCTATATCTCGGCTATACCTTGGCTCAGCCTGTATTATATCCTGGCTACATCTTGGCTCAAATTTTTATTTTTAGCATACAAAAAGATCCATTCTCATATCAGTCATAATATTTACAAAGGTAATTTCAAAATGTGAAAGAAATTTTAATCAAAATGTAGTAAAGCAGCAATACATACACAAGAACTGCTCATCTATTAAAATCTGTATTATACCATCCATTCAATTGTAAGAAAATTATAACTATACTATAAAGTATTGATTGAAAAAGAATATGTAAATAATAGTGTAGTAACTTTCATTTTGACTTTTATACAAACAAATTAAAACAAATATACAAAACATTTTCATATAATGTAACAGATGTTAAGCAGGCCTACAGTTTAAATTAAACTAATGTAAAAACTTAATTTACTGTACAAGAATACAGAAGCTGTCTTGTACTATGATACGTAAACATAACATTAAAAATAAAAAGTATAAAATATTTGTCTAACAACATTTAATTGCATAGCTTGTTTAAGTATTATAATTAAGGTTTACATTTTAATGCTGGACCAGTCTGCCTTGTCCATAAATAACAGAACGAAAATATGTTCAGGATCTCTAGATTATAATTGTGGTTAAATAGTGTTGAAATGAATGCCATTGTGTATACAAAATGTACAATCTTTCAAAAGACAGATGGTTCGAGGGTTTATACGCATTGTGTAGAACAGGAATATCACTGCGATATTCAATAAATGTTTTTTTGTCTCGAGTATGAGGTATTTAATTATAGTAAACTGAATATATATTAATTTACTTCATTAATTAGAAATAAATATCACCAGCAGAAGTATTGTCAATACAAATGTTGCAAGCTTTTTTTCAGATTGTACAGTGAAACTAATAATGAAAGAAATTTGCAACTAATTCTTTAAAGAAAAAAATGTCAATTGTATATTTCATTTAGGGCATTAAATCTACACTAAACATACATACAATGCCAACTTAAATTATTATATTATTACAAAAGGAAACAATTTATTAATTTAAAATCAGCATTGTTCTTAGACTATTTTGGTAAGAGCATCTTTTCTTTTCGTTAAGCACTTAAATGCAATATGTATTAAACTGTTAACCTGATCCATCTGATCAAATTTTTTTTTTAAAATCTGATCTAAAATTATTACGAAAATCACTGTTGTCCTCATTCTTGTGGACCCTTGTGGAGCTGAGAGACACAACCACACCTCTCTATTTTTATACTTGGTTTTAGGAGATTCCCCAAAGTTGGGTCCATAACACTCTGCCTGCTTGTGTTTTGTTGGTTTCTGATATTTTCCATGTTTGTTTTGGATAACAAACTTTCTCTTTCCTTTGGGATTCAAATCCAATAAAAGCCTGGTTGTTGATTTGTGCAAGGTATGTCATAATCCATCCACATTCTAAAAAAGAAAAGTTACACACTAAAAGTCATTTATGAAATAATTACAACCATACACTGCTCATTTTGCACTAAATTTATTATGTTTATTTTATTTTGCACTGCACTAAACATACAACAAGAAGCCCCTAACATCATGTTTGCTACTTTGTAACGATATATTATATAGGTATAAAGACTGGTGGTCTGGGGTGTTCATGCTACCCAGGTAACACTTATACTGCATATATATATATATATATATATATATATATATATATATATATATATATATATATATATATATATATATATATATATATATATATATATATATATATATATATATATATATATATATATATATATATATATATATATATATATATATATATATATATATATATATATATATATATATATATATATACATATATTTATAAACAAAAGTGAAAAAAAAGACCAGGTAATAAAAAAATAATAGTATTTATATAAATATTATAAACCCCTTACCCTATGTCTCTGAGTTAAGAAGGTGCCAGACAACTTTTAAGCAATTTCATCAACTTTATCAATTCAGTAATTGAACGATTAGACCCTTCAGAGTGACCCAGAAGTAATGCTTGTGGTCTGAAATTATTTTACTAATATCAGTAAAGGCATTAACTACACATGCTGATCATTACATGCAAGCAAAAATTACTAAATGAAAATTATTATTCACTTTGAAACAATGTAAACTTACAGTTGTTAAGTGTTAAGAACATTTAGTCATTTTCTGGTGTAGCCAGTAATTGGTGAAGTATCAAGCAGTGGGGACCTTATAATTTATTAAAAGATTGATATATCTCCAGTGGGCTGATTGATATACACAACACCTGGAGGCCTGAAAATAAATGGCATTCTTAGTTATTAAATATAATAATAAAATGAGTGAGTGATACAATAAATGATAGCCAGATTAGATACTAATTTTTAAGTATCTCTGTTTATTTGATCTCTGTAAATAAAGGATTTGTGTAGTCAACACTATATCTAGCCACCTTTTTTATTTCATAGTCTTAAATTGGGTATATATCAGACTTAGGTGAACTGATGAATGTACTACTAACTTGGCTTTATGTTTAGCAATAGTGTCCTCAACCATTTGCCTACTCTGTCCTCTATATGATAATATGAGTAGTGTTGATCATTAAGTATGGCTTACTAATAGTACCATCTTATCGCTGTTGGTCATGAAATTAAGTGTTGCTCTGAGGTCTCCACACTACTATTTACACAACTTACATCTTATTCATCAAAACATACATTAGACTGGAATCCCCAGGGAAAAAGGAGGGTGGGCCGGCCAAGGAAAACATAGAAGAGAACGGTTGAGAAGGAGGCGAAAACAGCTGGGCTCTCATGGGCACAGATTAGAGGAGCAGCCCAAAACCAAGTCCGCTGGAGATGTGTGGTTGCAGCCCTTTGCTCCCCAGGGGCCACAAAGGAGTGATGATGATGACATCTTATTCTCCCATAGGGACCTGTAACAGTAATAGAAATTTGAATGACAATCTTGAATCAATTTAGAATTCTAGTTGACTAATTTTTTTCAAAATTAATACCTATCAAAATACACTGTGACTGTTTGTTTAACATGTAGAAATTTGTTCTATAATTGTGTCTACTGTTCCTCTCTCTCTCTCTCTCTCTCTCTCTCTCTCTCTCTCTGAATTAATTATTAAAGACAGTTTCAAATCCTTACACAAATAGGCCTAGAACAATAAAATTAAGTTTTTTTTAAAAGTTAAAGTGAATGATTATTTATTAATTTATAAACATTTACGCCCCCCTCCCTTCCCCTGTGCGTGATAATTATACCTAAAGTTGAAAACCAATAAATACATCGATCTATCAATAATCAATATAACCCCAAAAGAACTTGCATACTTTTCAATACAAAAAAAAAGTGCTGTCAAAATTAACCGCCCTCTGATTACGATTTTTAGTTATTTAGTATTATTAGAATCTAGATCTATCATAAAGGAGATTATTGTAAAATGTAATTATAGCCTAATGGCATGCCAAAATAAACAGAATATAGACTATTATAGACCCTAGTATTATTAATATATAGATCTAGACTAGATCTAGGCTCATTTTATTACCTCAAATAAACTACCTTTTATAACTTTTATTTGATGACTTAGGCCCATAAAGTTGAAGTTTCCAACAAAAAAATACGAGTTTTCCAGATTCTGCATAAATACAGTTATACTACTTCTCACTGTTGAACTAAAAGGCTACAGTGGGCCTACCTGTTTTACTGTGACTGGATACAAAGTCTTTTGTTAAGAAAA